AGGAAAAAAAAAAAAAAAAAAAAAAAAAAAAAGGCAGGGGCTGGACTCAGAAGGACTTCTAGAAATACAACAATCCAATTATACAGTGAGTTAAACAGGCTTTTGCGGATTAGCCTATGAACCAAATCAGTTTTTAAAGCATTAGCATTAGTTCTTTGGGAAAATTCATTTTACATTTTAAATGACCAATTTTCCAGGCTACTTCCACATTACATTATGATAGTCTTAGGAGTATGGAAGAAGTCTCCAACTTTGAATCTAGTACTAAGCACACTGACAAAATTAGTATGCTGATTACCTCTGTCTTACGCATCCATCTAAATTTGATTTGATTTTTTTTGGTGGCTGGCCAATATGGGAATTCTGAACCTTTGACCTGGCTGTTATCAGCACCACACCATCTGATTTTAAATGAAACTCATTTTAAAGCACAGTATGTCACTGCTATTTTTTGATCATAATGACACAAGCTAGATAGTCTGGTCCACATACAATTCCAAAATAACTGATCATGGAGTTCCCCAGCAGTGTGAACTTTTAGAAACATGTGGGAGCATTCTGGGTTATCACAATGATTGAAGCTACTGGCATTTAGGACTTGGAACCAAGGATATCAGATATTGCACCAGGCATGGAACAGCTCCCCACAAAACAATGAATTTTCCTACCCAAAATGCCAATGGTGTTAAACTAGAGGACACACCAAACTTGAAAAGAGGGAGAAATAATCATTAGGAGAGGCAGAAAAGCAGAGGGTAAGAACACAAGCTTTGAGTTGGGCAGACTAAGGATCAAATTCCTGTCTCTGCATGGTGAAGAGAACCCTTGAGCAAGTTACTCAGTCTCTTTTAGCTCATTCTCTCATCTGTAACGAAGTTTTAAAATAATGCCTACTCTACGTGGTTTCTGGAAGTAGAAAATAAGATCATGTCTAGCAGATAGTAAAATAAATATTAGCAAGTATAAGCTTTCTTGAAAAGCTCTCTGTTGTTAATTAAGATTTAAAAAAAAAAAATCAGACCACGCCCCTCTTCTGCTTTTAGGACAAAAAGTACCATCCCCATCTCCTACCACCAACCCCATGCTACAAAGTTTCACCACCTTGTAGACTATTAGTGCTTAGCCAACACATTAGTGTGGACTCTCCTTTGCACTTCCCATTTTTTCACTTGTTCTTATTTTTCTTTAATTAACCAGCATACTTACCCCCTTTTGCCCCACTGTCAGAATAGCTGTGGCTGTTCTTAGAACTTTTAGAGTGAGTCCCCAGGAAAACACTTGCAGACTTGTTTTTTTGCGTATAAAAAGTTAACACCTCTTCCAGTTCAGCCTCACTGAAATAAGGAGAAAGAGTATGGTCAGAACAGGAAGCTGTTCTGGAAAATCTGTCCACCAGATTTAATTATGGAAACAGAATAAGCTGGAGAAGGGGAAAATGAAAAGCGCAAGCTGAAAATTCCCTATTAATAGATGGTTAAAATGAAATATAAATAAAAGCAATCTAAAAAATTTAAGGAATGATAAGGCTGTGTTCATCTCACTTTGAATTTTCAAGATCAGTCTTGTCCAATATGGTAGCCACTAGACATATATGCCTATTTAAATTAATCAAAAATATAGATTCTTTTCCTTATTTATACTAGCCACATTTCAAGTGCTCAAGTACCCACAGAAGGTACTGCTGGACAACTATGTTCTAGATCAGGAGAGGCAACAAACCACAGACTATGAGCCAAATCTGACCAGTGACCCGTTTTTTATGGCCCCCAGCTAAGAATTTTATTTTATTTTATTTTTAAAGAAAGATATGTGAAAAAGACCATAGGTAGATAGCCCTCATTATCTGTAATATTTGTTATCTGGTCTTTTATAGTTTGCCCACCTCACTTCTACATAATTAAAGTACCTTCACTAATGGGACTGCTTGTCATTTTAATTGCCTATGTCAGAAACGAGGAGACCCACCAGTGTAACCACAGAAGAGTTCCCTAACTATTTATACAATGCACAAAACTGAACTAAATAGTCTCTTCAGATTATTGAAATTATGCTCTTTATGAACATCCACAAAATGGAAAGTATGAGGAAACAGATGAGGGCCTGAGGGATTCTTCCAGCAAACATCAGGCATGTATTTTGTAACATCTGTAGCAGCTTCTCAATGGCCTTTTTCTTTTTCCTGAAGCTTGGCTAGGTTCCAGACAGGTGACCTTCAAGCAAGTAAAGTATGCCTGCATTATTATAAAGAACCTATATCCTGTCTTCAGAATGCACTCTAATGAGAATGTAGGAAACCACCTCTGAGTCTCAGAGTAAACTCCAAGGTAGCTAAGTGCACAAGATATGTACTTCAAGTAACTATAAAAGATCTAAAGCTGAGGTTGCAAACGGGCAGCTGCCTCTGCCTGTCAGTGAGTTCTACATGGCCCTTCACAGGATACTGAAAGGCAAAAGTTATGGCTGGTCAAGATACAAGCTGCTTTGTACCTGTCTTATCCCCTGCCCACTTCATAATTTATGTTTTCCTGCCTGACTTCTGCAGGTATGTGAATTAACCAGCTCTGACAAAGGTATCCACGTACTTGCTACAAACTTAATAAAAGAACTGACAATACCACATATTTCCCAACAATCAACAATTAATCCATAACCAGTAGTAAATATGTTCCAACATACTTTATCTCCAAATCAAATAACTTAATTAGTTAACAGTATGTATAAATTCATTTTTTTAGTAACCAGTTGGGCCTGCTAGGGAAATACATATGACTTTTTAAAGGTTAGGTTTTTTTATTGTTTTATATTTTGGGGATTTTAAAAATCCCCAGGAGGAACCAGAAATTAATCTTTCAGTTTTAAAAGTACAGCTATTTTCTAAATATAATCTAGTTTTTTTCTTTTTCTATTTTTTAAAAAAATTATTATAAGCAATTATTATTACAAATAGTGATTTTTCTTTATGCTCTTTACCCAACCTATCCCTCTCCACCTTTTCTATTTTTATAATGTTGATGTGAGAAACTCTCTTGCTTTGTTTTTATACCTGCCTTATCATATACTAAGATACAAGAATGTCAACAAGATAATATATCACAATCATGGACTCCTATAAAATGATGTATTTGTGTGCTATGTGTTTAAGCACATGATACTGAGGCTATGGTGAGGTCTGTTCAAGGTATTCAACAAAGATCATACTACAAGGGTCACTGATAAATCACCACCTGATTTAACTTCACAAATCAACAAAGAGTTGATTTTCTCCCCACTGTGACTTTGACGGTTGAAGACTAATTAATGGGGTTTACAGTTGTTTTATCCTTTATTTTCTTTCAGTGGTTTTACACAACTCTTTCTTTAGAAAAAGGCCCTCCGGTATGCGTTTTACAAAATTTAAAATTAAGTGCCTTTGTTATCTCTTCCTTTGGAAACACAATGTAAATGGACAAGATGGCCTGGCTGACTTGTATCTAGAGAGCTCAATACTGAGATTTTCTCTGGGCTGGCCGGTTAGCTCACTTGGGAGACTGTGGTACTGGTAACACCAAGGTCACGGGTTTGGATCCCCATGCCAGTCAGTTGCCAAAAAACCCCCCTGAGATTTTCATTTCCTAAAGGCCAACCCTAAACATGAGGGACTTGTTCTATTTTATATAAATTAGGTACAACCTTCGAGAAATTGCCAATTTCTCCACTCAATGTAGGTTAAATTTGGTCGTCTTTACTACATCAGTAGGTCAGGGATAAATTCAGACCCCGCAAACACTAATAGCCTCTAACTTCAGCTTTCCAAAGGGCTCTCTCAGCGCTTTAGGTGCTATGTACTTTCAAGCCTGCCTAGAACTACAGCCCAGATACCCAGCAGCAGTGTTTTGATAACTGAAGCCATGACAACAGCAACATAATTGGCTGAGATATGAAGAAACCAAGCCTATGAAACTTTTTCTCTTTCTGAGAGTGATTTCATTCACATCCATGTGTCAGGAACAAGGGAATGTTGGGTATTCAATAAGTAGTATAGAAGATGAAACAAGACAGTTTCTATTAATCAAGAATGTCTTCTACCTTGCTTGTCTGATGAACTCTTGAAAGTTTTCCGTATTCACTCCATCTTCTTCTTCTTCCTCAAGTTTCTTCTTTGATTTCTTTTCAGCCATTTGTTCTGTTTCCTACCGGGTGCCCAACCCCACAGAAAAACAAGATAAAACTGACTCCTGATAAATGCATACTTCATCATCTGGTGTCATTAGCCTTGGTTTAATTTGTCTTTGGAGTAAGGACATTTAATTCTTCCATGTCCTTTTGCTACCTATAAATTTGATATATTACTTTTGACCATGATTTTGTGAAACATGAAATTCCCAAGTAAAAGTTGCAGAATAAATGTAAATTTTTATCATGTTTTTACTTTCTACTTATACAGCCCGTTGAGAAAAGAGCTTTTTATAGTAACTAAGTAATATCTGTGATCACACTTGCAGCTTTAACAGTATGACAACAGAGACACAGTATTTATTACAATTAGAAGAAAAAAAGATAGGTCTTGGAAGATACTCTTATACCAGCTTCCAAACTGAATAAACTCTTCGCTTTTATAAAACATAACAAAATTCTCAACAAATCTGGAGTAAATGATAAATATGGGTTTGGTGCAACATAGTCTACTAACCATTACATACAACTTTAGAAAAGCCATTTAAATTACCAGGGCTCAGCTTTTCCTTCTGCAAATTATCCATAATTTTTCCCCCCAAAAATGATATTTTTCATGCATTCTGAGACCCCTGGATATAAGACGCTTTCCAAGATATTCTAGTTAAAGAGTAAATTTCCTGGGCTAGATTGTAAAATGATATCACTGTATAAAATGTTTCAGAGAAGAAAGTATAACTTTCTCAAGAAAGAAGAATATGTAATCATATTAAATCCACAGCTCAAATTTGCTCTGAAATAATCAACTCACCATTGTCTGCAGGCACAATAACAACCCAGATTCACACTGCCCAGGAGTCATCACAGGTGCAATAGAGCTCAAAAGTAATATGCCTTTTGATGAGCATTACTATGGCCACAGGGCCTTCAGAGGTAATAAGTAGTTTTTCAGCCCAGCTGGGTTAAGGTTTGGGGTCCCATTCCCTCTAACGGTAAAGCATAGGGATGATGACGCTCAAGAACAGAAGGACCTCTCTGCCCAGCTGGACAGAGGCTTCTAGCCTGTTTCTGACAGCATATGGCAATCCAAAGCACAAGACTAACAGATAAACCATTTACCTTGCTGTATACAATGATAAAGTCACCCAGTTGATGGGCCAGGATTCTTCTGCGTTCCAGAAGTGCCAGTCGTCGACTGGGTAATACCATTCTCAGTGAATGTTGGAGGTTACTTGATGCTCGCTTGAGGAAACGAACCACCAGCTCCTATAAATTAACAAGTCATGGGGAGAAAAAAGCAGGAATTGTGTTAAGCAACAGAAGAGAAGCTATGAAGGTATTCCACGACAGAGATGTGAGAAGAGATATATTACACATTGCAACAAACAAGACCCAGAGCAAACATGTTAGGTATAAGAAGGATAAAGAAAGACAAAGCAAGACAAAAGAAACTTATTCTCTTCCCTAATAAGCTGGCAATCAAAAATTGAAGTCAAATATGTATACAAATAAGTATGTAATAAAGCAGTAGTAGTAAAGTACCATAACACAAGTAGTACTATAATAACTCAAAGAGCACATATCACTTCTAATAGAGTGATCAGAGAGCTATTGGGGAAGGCAGCATTCAAAGGCAGTGGAAACTAAAAGCACAGGAGCTGGTGAAATCATCAAAGGTAAAAAGGTAGAAAAATAGAAAAATATTCATACTTAGAGATAAGAAAGAAGAGGATGAATCAGAAAAAAATGGTAAAAACTTCAGAAATGTAGAAGGAAACCCAGAAGAAAATAGAATCATGAAGCCACAGGAGGGAAGTGTTCCTTGTCAAATGCTTCCAGACGCTGGACCTGGAAAGGACCACGACCAAGACAAGCCCACGGATCTGGCCACTGTGGGATAATATCAAGGGAACACTTTCAGTAAAGAAAGTTGAATAAAGGCATTAAGAAATGCATAGGGTCTGACTGGTTAGCTCAGCTGATTAGAGCGTGGTGCTGATAACACAAAGGTCCAGGGTTTGATCCCTGTCCCAGCCAGCTGCCCCCCCCCCCACAAAAGAAAGAAAAAGAAAAAAAAAAAAAATGCATGGGTAATGAAGAATATAGGTGAAGAGTAGAAACTACTGATTTAAAAAGTTTAGCAATAAAGGAAAAGAAAGAACTGTCATAGCAGCTTGAAAGGTGATGACTTTTTAGCTTTTAGAGTTGGGGGCTGGCAAGGAGGACATAGTGGAGTGTCATAAAGGGAAACAAATATCTCAGTTGAGATGGGGGAAAAGGATTTTGAAATTTGAACAGATACCAATCAGATTATTCATAACATCACAAATGCTTCAAAGAAAGATTTTTGTAGGGCCAAGGGCCTTAAAGATAGTTTTTGCCCCATAAATACAATAAAATTGCTTTCAGATGATGGATTTGGGGAACTTCTGCTGATGTGCCTTCTGAGTTGGGAGGTAAAGAATCACTAACCCCTAACCCACACCAGAGAGGGCAATTCTACACCTACCTTCCTCATAAGCAAAACCAGTGCCACAATCATTGGGACTGGGTCAGAGTCTGCTCTCTAAATATATTTTGAAGAAGGAGTTCAAAGAACTAGTATTAAGTTTTGCAGTGATGATCCTAAATATTCAAGCCCCAGAGAAATCCTGCGTGAATTCCAAGACAGAATTTGCAGTCGTTATTCTCCTTAAAACTATTTTTTTCTTCTTGAATTTGATTTTGGTTCATTGTCTCTTGGTGCCAATTTACTTCAGCATAAAGAGTATAGCCTCATAACCAGAGGGTTGGATTTCATAGTTCTACTCTGCTGTCTTTACTATAGGGTGGTTTAAACTGTTATATTAAAACATTATTTTTTCGCAGTGGAGCAGACAAACTGACTCTCAAAAAAGCAGTTTTAATTTTCCACTTGGAAAGAGCAGAGCTAACATTTTCCACTGATGGTTGAAGGATTATTCACAACACACAAGGTTTTATCTCTGGGTTGTACTGGCTACTTTAAATTCACAAGTTGTTTTCTGGAATAACCAATGTTTTTATAATAAGCCTGGCATAAAGACCTGCTTTTTTATATAGGGAAGACTAAAAATTACAGTAGGGTCACCACTGGGTGGGATAATAGATGCAGCTTTCTCAGACTTGAAGATCTCTCTCTTTTTGGTGACAGATCCCTTTTGTTAAAAAGGCTATGGGATGGCTGTGCCGCCTTCTACAAGCACTGATCTTACCCAAAAGCTTGAAGCTCTCTGTCATTCTGACCCAGAAAGAAAACCTTCCTAGAATATTAAATCAAATGACTGATACTATGTTTGAATGACTGATACACAGTAAAAATTATACACAAATTTAATTTCAGTAATCTAAGAATTTTATAAAGTTACAACTGGTAAAGAAAAAATGTTAAGTTGGAGGATGGTACATTCTGAGAGGACCTATGATAAGGTCTTGACTTTCAAAGAGCTAACCTGACTCCTCAGGACAGAAAATAAACACCTTATCATGCATAGAAACAACAGAATAGCAAGTAATGTATAATTATAACATGTTCCAGTTCCAGTTCCAGTTCCAGTAGAACAACAGGCCTAGCTTCTCCAGGTCTTTGTTTCCTCATCTGTAAAACAGGGATGATAACACCTACCCCTAAGAGTTAACAAAATGTGAGGCTGCTTGAGAAAAGACTGTACATTGTTATTCTTTTTGAGGGTTTTGCACAGGACTTAACATCCAATGAGCAATCAATTTCATTTCAGAATGAAATAAACTGATGCCCTCACTACACAGTGTAATGAACACAGCTCCACAGCAAAGAATTGTTTTACATTAAATTAAAGAGATATCTAGAAGCTTTACTATGTAATAATTCTATTATCAAAGAATATATTGCTATTTACCCTCAAAAAAAAAAAAAAAAAAAAAAAAAGAAAGAAAGAAAAGAAAAAGGGAAAGTAAAAAGTTTCCAATAAGAAGAGCCTCACCATCTGTTCATCTTCTTTGGCAGCCCAACTGGCACTGAATGTCTGACCTCCATTGTCTTTCATCAGGCGAATTTGAACATGCTGGAGATAGGCAGAGAATGCTATTCGGGCCTGCACTTTGCTATAGAAATCCAAAACAACATACCGTTATGAGACAGAATAGTAAGCCTACCAAAAGCGTACCCAAGTCTCTCCAAGTGGCTTTGAGGACCCTTCTATTAGGATGGCTAAGAAATATGAAGCCAGTCATATAGTCACTAAAGATTCCTTCTAAACAGAACATGAGTTTTAAAAAAATTGTTCCTATTAAGAGAATCAGAGATGGAGAATCCTACTTATTTTCATTATTAGCATGGGAAAACAAACTAGAACAGAAAATCAGGTTTCCTACTCATCACCTTATCTCTTTGAACATTTTAACAACTTTCTTGGAGGAACGAACATGAGAAGTAGTGAATCTTCACAAGAACCTCTGTATTAATAAGGGAAGGTTTTTTGCATTGGAGGCCCTTAAGAACATACTCATCAGTTAGAACTAAAAGTATGGATTTTGCTATGGCAAATAATATTTCTCGTGTGCAAAAACCTTCAAAGCAGGAAAGAGATAAATCCTACAAAGGGACTTTTGAGACCAAATTTTAAGGTCATGCATTTCTCAACTACAAGACTGGAGTGGCTGGAGTCCAGAATAAATGAATGAGGTCCAACAGAATTTGGCACAGATGAACCAACGGGCCAGAACGAGCCCAGATGTTCAGTGGGAAAAAGAAATTCTTAAATATAGTGAAAAGCACCTCAGCAACATCACTGAAGAACCCATCTATCTTCTGCCTGGTCGTCTAGGTTGGAAACAAGGAAATCTGATCAGGCTATAGTTTGGAAGACAAAAGTATCAGAGAGACACTGATGATTTTCACTTCAGCTGCCTATCATGGCAGATCTGTTTTCTTTCAGGCGAGATTTTGGTTACTTCAGCTGATTGGCCTTCTGACATTGCAGCCAAAATTACATCAGTGAAGATTAGGGCCCAACACAAACTTTGTTTACAATCCTCACACATGCAATCACTGAATGCTTTCTATTCACAGTTTCTCCAAGGATAGGATGAACAGATTTGTACAGAGTAAACTGGAAATCCTAAAAGGGTCCAGGTCTAGATTCCATGTGTATGCTGGAGGACTGGAGGGCACAGAAGTCAGGTTGAGGAGATTTACTTTTGAGAGTTTAATACGTAAGAGCTTCAGAATATGAACTACAAATAAGGCTAGATTTTTGTTAACAACAGGGATAGTTTATGAGAGTACAATATGACTTTGAAACAATAAATTTATATTTTCACGTTTCTCAATGATTATAGTCTTGTTCACCTAGAGAGCATATACCACTTTCCCCTAAACCATTCCCATAAGCTTCACCACCACCACAAATCATTTTTAAGTCAAAATAAGTTAAAAAGATCCTTAATTTTAGTCAACAAATTCTCTTGCAATATAATGAGCAAGAAACAGCATATTTCAGACACCTCTGAATGTAGCAAAATACCTCATTTAATTGATTGGTCCCCTTATACTAAAACATGAATTCTTTTGGATAAGGAGATTATTGTTCATAAGTTGAAATTTCAATCATTGTTTTGTTGCAAATCATTATTGCAAATCAAATGAACAAGTACTGAGTTTTCCATTTCTATAAGTCTTACCAAAGAGATCCTTAGGATGTTAATTCTGAGACTGTCTCTAAGGTACTAGACACCTTGGTCATCTAGTCATTTGTTATAAATAAACAAAGAAAAGACGAAAGAATAAAAACCAGAATGATTTACACCGAAGGAACCTCTTTTTAAAAAACAAAAGGTTATGTAGATCCTCAGTATATTAAATGTACAAGGAGGCTGTGCCTGGAGTCTTGAACCTTTGCCATGGCTCTCTCCAGACCCTTCAATAGCCAGTGAGAACAATGGGCAGCTTCAGGGAACACAGTCTGAAAACCACTGATTTACACTAATACACCCTGCAATTATAACAGTTTATTCATTGAAAGTGAGATCCATAAGACTTATGAAGAAATAATTTATTTTTACGACAACTAAGGAGAATGTTATTGCTGGAACAGAACTTAGAATACAGTCCAGTGGTTTTTAAATGCTCTATTTTCAATTCAGTGGTATCTTTTTTCTCTCCAGGAAGTAGTTTGAAAAACACTTGTCTAATTCCATACCTTGGCTTGACAGAAAAGGAAACTGAGGCCTAGAGAAGCTCTTTGACTTGCCTCTGATCACACAACCAGTTGGTAGCACTGAAAAAGCCAGAGCCCAGGTCTTCTGACTGAATTCAATTTCCACTAATGGAACTATTCTCATTTTCCATGACATTCTGTTCCAAACCTTAACTCTATCCCCCCACATCCCAATGTCACCCTCCAGCCTTTCAGAACTAGCCTCTGGTTTAGAGAATAAAGGCCATCAAGCACAAATACCTCAACTTCCTTGTTCTCCAACTTTTAGCTACTGCTTTCATCCCCTAGTCCTTTCTTTTTGACTTACAGGAAGAAATAACCCTCCATTGGCCTCTTTCCAGCTTCTTTTAAGACCCTTATCTACCAGTATATCCATTTCTGCATCTCTAATCCTCTTGCCATCAAATCCTTCCTCTTAGTCTATAAGTAAGCTTCAGAATCCCTATCTTAAAACAAAGAAACAAACAAACAAACCTCCCTTTCTCTTAGCTAGCTCTCTCCCTGATGTATTCTCACCTTCTTCCACTGCTAAATGCTTCAAATAGTTCACACTTGCTTTCTTGTTTCCTCAGCTTACAATTGTTCTTCCACCCAGTCAGTTAGCCCTAGGTCACAAATCCAAGTCTCTTTTCATTCCTTATCCCAACTTGGGCTGTCTGAGGCACTTCTACAGACTTGAAATTCTCATTTTGTAGCTTTTACCATACTACTCCCTCCCAGCTTCAGAATCCCTATCTTAAAACAAAGAAACAAACAAACAAACCTCCCTTTCTCTTAGCTAGCTCTCTCCCTGATGTATTCTCACCTTCTTCCACTGCTAAATGCTTCAAATAGTTCACACTTGCTTTCTTGTTTCCTCAGCTTACAATTGTTCTTCCACCCAGTCAGTTAGCCCTAGGTCACAAATCCAAGTCTCTTTTCATTCCTTATCCCAACTTGGGCTGTCTGAGGCACTTCTACAGACTTGAAATTCTCATTTTGTAGCTTTTACCATACTACTCCCTCCCGATTTTATGCCTCTCCTCTCAACTGCTATTTCTGGCCTTTTTACTGACTTACCCATTAAACAGTGGTATTCCCTTCCTTTTCTCCTTGTCTACACTTGCTGAACCAAATAGACTTGGACAATCTCAACCACTCTGAAGAATTTAATGATAATCTGTACAATCTTGTTCAACCTTGACCTACAAAACTGTATTTTCATCTCTCTTCAGGTAGAAGACTTCAGCCCAGAGCACTTCCTCCTCACTATGTCTCCAAATGAAACACACTATTTCTATCACAAAACCAACTCCTAAGTTCCTTATACTGACTGATAACATCACTATGTTGCCAAACACGGAAAACTTAGTCTCTGTCAATTTTACCTTGCAAACTTCATGAAGTCCATCCCATTCTCTCCATTCCTATAGCCACCGCTCTCATTAGGGCCTTCATCTTCCTGGGTCTGGACATATCATCCTAATTAAATGGGCGGAAGTTAATTTGACACCCGTCAAGTTCATTTCAATTTCAGGGCCTTTGTACTTGCTGTTCTGCCACCTGATATTCACATAAATGACTCCTCATCATTCAGACCTCGAGTTTCCTTAATAATAGTAATGTGTAATCACAGTCATTATTTCATAGGACTTCTGTGAATATTAAATGAAAAATAACAGTAAAGCCATTAAAACAGTACCTGGTACACAGTACAAGTTAGCTATTATCAGTTTTACTATTATAATTACAAAGGGTACATACCTAAGATTTCCATTATCTTGCAGAATCTGCATCAGGTTAAACTTAGGCTCTGGCTCCTGAGTGTCAATTTTGCTGCACTGTTCACCTTTATTATTCCACTCAGGAACTTTGACGGAATTTTCTCTGGGTGAATTTTCTACCATAACAGTCAATGAGGGTGTATATTTGCCTTGATTTTCTCCAAGAGACCCTGCAGACTCCTCCTGGGAAGCTTCCTGTTCTTCTTCATTGTCTAATGCAACTTCTTCCTCCTCTTCACTCTCTGTCTCAGTTTTAACATTCATTTCAGCTGGTTGGGTAATCACTAAATGCGAAGAATCACTAATGTTGCTGAAAAAAGGATTAAAGTTTCCTCTCTCCCAATACCTTCCTTTTTTCTTTTTAATAAAAACCCATTTCTAAATGAAACCACAAACAAGGGACAAAATTAATAGCAATCACATGTCACTCTAATCATATATATTTAAAAACCTATTAAGAATCTTCATTAGAGTTGATGTTTCTCATCATACTGATGGCTCTCTCAGAACTCAAGGCAAAAAAAAAAAAAAAGCTCAAAAAAACAAAAACCTTGGTTGAATAAGCAGTATGTTAGAGGTTTTTAGAAAAGCACCCTTCATGGAGGTAAAAAGAGCTGGGGAATATCTTTCTATCCTATGTTTATTCATTATCCTTCTCCTCCACTGTCTTATTAGTTCTATGAGGACAAGGACCATGTACTTTTTATTCACCAATGAAACCCCAGTGACTAACATGCTGCCTGATACAGGTGCTCAACAAAGGAGGGAAGGAGGGAAAAAAGGAAGTCAGTCTATCAGTCAGTTACAAACAGATCTGCAACGTAGGAAAATAGGGGGGAAAAAGAAATTTCCCTTTGTCTAAGATATTTACACCATTCAGCAATGTCAAAGGATGAACTGGACTTACTAATCTTTAAAAATCTGAACAGTAATGCTCAGGATTCCGTTCATATTCTAATATTATTCTAATATTATTTCTAAAGTATCAGGTATTTGTACAATGCTAGAATAAGAGCAAAAGCCAACATGTGTGTGTTTCAGATATTCTTCAATACAAGTATTATAGAATGTAAGGTTCAAAACCTTATAATCCCTTTGAAATTAAGTTTCAGAGAAAAAGACTATACAAAAAAATAAGAGCATATAATCAGGAGGTTCTGACTCATTAAGTACTGAGTAATTAGCTGGTTAACTTAGTTTTGCAGGACCCAGATAATGGGATTTGGTGAAAGCTCACCAGAAGTACCTGGGTATTTTGGCCTCATGGCTCTCAATCTGCCACTCCGTCGTCTACGTTTTCGCACCTCCAGAGACAAGAGCTTCCTCTCGTAAAGAGCAGCATGCAGCTTGGCCTTTGAATTCACACTCTCTACCTTCAATTCTGGTGCTCCATCAATAGTCATTCTAGGGGAAAAACAATATAGATAGCCAAATGCTTCAGAAAGTTTTCTCCTTTATTCTAAAGCGAAGCTTGACAGAATTCTGTAATGACAGACGAGGCATGGGAACTACAGTGAATTCTAAAAGGTTTTGATAGATAAAGGGGAATATCGGAGTTTACATTAAAACTTCACTAATGGCCTATCTGAATTTGTTAAATGTTCTGAACAAAAATATATCTGAAGACAATATTTAAGTACTTTTAAGTGTCTGGTAATACTGACTGACCATTACTTTTACTTTACTGCAGGGATCATAAAGTACCACCTAATACCCTATACCTGAAGGACTGGGAGATACTAGTAAAATTTTAATTCTTAAGCTGGTGGTGGTAAAAGGCATTTGTTTTATTGCAGTTCATTGTAACTTACTCAGAATTATATAAATACTCTTTTGAATGTATACAATATTTAATAAATATAGATTTAGCAGAGGTTGAAATGGGGAGGAATGACTGATAGTCTGTGAATATGGTAGGTAGTACTGAACTGAGATTCACAGGGGAAGTGTCTTAGTGAAAAGTTACTAAGACCTAGGGACTCACCAAGCCTCAAGGATCCCAGCACAAGGAACTGCCATGGTTCCCACCCCTCCTTTAGATCCTAATTAGCTACAGGAGGAGGTGGAGAGAGGTAGCAGGGACTCTCCAGGTGTTGAGTACACATCAGGAGTTAGAGTCAGAGGCACAGAAAAGGGAACACAGCAGATGTAGGACAATGCCAAATTCAATCAGGTCATGAATGAGAAATGGGACAGGGAAAAGGGGCTGGTGGCAGCTAAAAAAGGCAAATTACAAATTAGGGAATGACTGATATTAGGCCCAGTCCACATAAGGACTGGACAAAGTACAGAGAAGGCAGAGATAACCAGGTCACCAAAGAGAGAGAGGGCTCTGGGTCACTGGATCAGAAAAGAAGTATCCATGTTGGTGTCTGAAGGCATGCAGCCAATTCTGTATACTCAGAACTCAAGATCTAACTGGCTGGTTCTGAACTCTGTCTCTAGAACTCAAAGTACATTCTCTCTAAAATCAAGAAATTTATCCTCTTTTGGGAGTTTTCAGTCTCTGAGTATGAAAGAAAGTCTGTGTCTTTTGGTCTAGTTAGGACACTCTGAAGGGGATTTTTGAGTGGATGGACTGATTGGTAAATTTTGGGAAGGCCTTCTCTCTAGAGCAGAACATTGAGCCAAGAACAGGAAAGGTCCTGACACTAGGAGCAGAAATGGGAAGTAAATTAATAAACTTTAAAAATAGTTCAAACATACCTTATTGTACATAGTCCTAAAGACTAAATCCATGACCCCCACAGCTATGAAAATAGATTTTTAGGTAATTAAAAAAAAAATCTGATAAAAAAATAAAATCATCCCAACCGTCTATTGAACAATGTCTTGCCAACTTGGTCAAATTCGATAACTGTACAGGCAAGCACTGACGTAGCTTAACACTAACAACACTAACATCTCTTATCCTATAAGCTCACAAACATTCCTCTCTCCAAAGACATGTCTTTAAAAACTTAAAATGATTTGTGATAGCTTAATGTTTTGGATCATCCTAATTAAATGGGCGGAAGTTAATTTGACACCCTAATAAATTAAAACCCAGTGTTTACTCTCATGAACCAATGTCCTTTATATAAAGAAAAGTATTTCTACCTACATTGCCAAGAACTCTATTCTTTAGGAAAAGAGAGATTTCTTTCAGGGAAATAATCAATAAAAACTCAATAACAAGCTCCTGAAAACATGAATCCTATAAGTTCAGAGATATGGAGATGCTACTAAACAACTTCTGTCTCTAGAGATATTTTTAGGTAACAAATTGAGCTAAGAGGCCCAGGACAGATAAATTCTAACTAGTACAAGGGACAGAGAATAGGAATACTGGGGAAAACATGAATCTGATAAACAAGAACTATAGATCTTTTTTTTTTTTTTTTTTTAAAAAGATGACTAGTAAAGGGATCTTAACCCTTGACTTGGTGTTGTTAGCACCATACTCTCCCAAGTGAGCTAACCAGCCATCCCTATATAGGGATCCAAACCCGTGGCCTCGGTGTTATCAACACCACACTCTCCCTAGTGAACCATGAGCTGGCCCCAGAACTATAGTTCTATGAGGGCAAGTACCCATGCTTGTTTGTTGGTCACTACATCTGTGATGCTTATGAGACTGCCAAGCACACATCTGACATGTCATAATTACTGGCTAATAAAAAATCAAATTAGCTATAAATAATACCTTATAATACCTTTTAGCTACATCTATTTCATTTTATTTTTTCTGACATTTTACTAGGAAAATATTTTTAAAAACAGGAAAGTTTAAAGAATTTTACAATGAACATCCATATACCTACCCAGCACCTAGTTTCTATAATCAACATTTTACTATATTTGTTTCATCACATATATATCCAATAATACATCCCCCTCTATCTATCCATCAATCCATTTAAATTTAAAAGCATTTCAAAGTTGCAGACAGACACAAGTGCACTTTGCCCCTAAACATTTCAACATATATACCATTATTATCTAGAGTTCAATATTTGATTTATATGATTTTTTTTTGGACAGCTAAAGATCATAGACGGTGAACTACCCAAATATTAAATATCCATTTGATGAGTTTTGACAAATGCCTAGAGCTATATAAATCAAATTCTAACATTACTATCACCTCAGAAAGTTCCCAGTCAATCCTTTTCCCAATCTCTCCCTCACACCCTAAAGGCAATCAATCACTGTTCTGAATTTTTTCATCATCTTAGTTTTGCCTGCTCTAGAACTTCATAAAAATGGAAACATGTGAGGGTACTTCAAAAAGTTCACAGAAGGATTTGTATTATCTTTTAATTCTACTTTCCCAGGAATTTTCTGAAGTATTCTTGTACAGTATAAATTCTTCAGTGTGAGGCTTCTTTCATTCAGCATGTTTTTGAGATCCATCCATGTTGTGTGCATCAGTATTTATGCATTTTTATTGCTTAATAGCCGAATCTATTCTCTTGTTGCTGAACACCTAGGTTGTTTCCTGTTTGGGAATATTATGAATAAAGCTACTATGAACATGTTTATATAAGTTTTTCTGTGATTATGTTCTTCATTTCTCCTGGATAAAAATCTCAGAGTGGAATTTGCTGGGCTTTCTAACGAACTGCCAATTTCTCTAAAGTGCTTGTACCAGTTTAGACTGCCAATGACATTTGGTGTTGTCAGTCTAATTTTAGCCATTCTGCTAGATTAAAACCATGACATACATGGTTTTAATTTGCAACTCCTTGATAACTAATGTTGTTAAGCACATTTTCATGAGCACATTGGCTATTCATATATCTTCATTTTGAAGTGTCTGTTCAAATATTTTATTCACTTGTAATTAGTTTGATTATTTTTTGATTACTGAGTTGTAGAAGTTCTTTGAATTTCCAGGATTCCTTTCCTTTGGCAGATATGTTTGATGAAAATCTTCAGTCTACAGTTCCCTAATCATTTTCTTAACAGTATCTTATGATAAAGTTTTTAATTGAGGAAAGATAACTTATTTTTTTATTGCTTTCTGTGTCATGTCTAAAACCTTTGCTAAGCCCAAAGTCACAAAAATATTCTATGTTTTCCTCAAGAAGTTTTATAGTATTAGTTTTTATGTTTATGTCTATGAATCATCTCTAATTTCTGTGGGAGACAGGGGTTGATGTTCATTTTTTAAAATATGATACCCAGTTGTTCTAGCCACAATTGCTAAAGAGTTTCCTTTTCCCATTGGATTACTTTGGGCATTTTGTTGAAAATCAAATGACCATATAAATGTGGGTCTAATTCTGGGCTCTCTTTTCTGTTTCATTGATCAATTTGCCACAGTCTTGAATACTGTAGCATTATATAGGATTTAAGACAGGTACTCTAAGTCTTTTTCAAGACTATTTTGGATATTATAAGTCCTTTGCATTTCCATGTAATTTTTTTTAAAAGTTGGTCAGTTTCCACAAATAAAAATCTGTTGGAATAATGATTGAGATTGCACTAAATCTTTAGATCAATTTGAGAAGAATGGATATTTTAACAATATTAAGTCTACCTAATCCATGAGTATGATATATCTTTCCATTTATTTATGTCTTTCTAAATCTTGTTCAGTAATATTTTGTAGCTTTTAGTATACAGGCATTGAACAAATTTTGTTAAATTTATTCCCTAGTATTTCATATTTTCAAAAGCTATTATAAATGTAATTATAAATTTCATTTTCAAATTATTTACTGCTAGTATATTAAAATAGATTTTGATATATTGATCTTGCATCCTAAGACCTTTCTAACTGCACTTATGGGTTCTTATAGTTATTCTGTAGATGCTTTAGGATTTTCTAGTAACTTGATCATGTCATACAAAAATTAAGACATTTTACTTCTTTTCTAATCGATATACTTTTTCCCCCCTTGCTTTATTATAGTGTCTAGGACATCTAGTATAATGTGAATAAAAGTGGTAAGAGTGGACATCTTACCTTATTACTAATCATAGGGGAAAAGCCTTCAATATTTTACCATATATGATAATAGTGATAGGTTTTTCATATAAGGCCTTTATCAGATTGAAGAAGTTCCCTTCTATTTTTGATTTGCTAAAAATTTTTCTTATAAACACGTGTCAAATTTCATCAGATGCTATGTGTGTGGAGAGGGCATCTAATGAAATGGTCACCTATTTTTTTCCCCCTTTAATATGGTGAATTATACTGACTAATTTTCAAATGTCAAACCAATCTTGTACTACTGGAGAAAATCTCAGTCATATGTTTTTTATATATATGTCATTATCCTTTTTATATACTGGAAGGTTAGATTTGCTAATATTCTTTTTTAAAATGTTGTGTCTATGTTCATGAGGATATTAGCCTGTAATTTTCTTCCTCTTCCTTGAAAATGTCTTTGTCAGATTTAGGTATCATAGTCATGCTGGCATTATAATGTTAATTGGGTAACGTCCCTTCCTATATTTTTTGAAAGAGTTTGTGTAAGATTGGTGTTATTTCTTCTTCAAATGCTTGAGAAAATTCACTAGTAAAATCAATGCTTTGTAGGAAGGTTTTTAATTACAAATTCAATTTTCTGAAGAGATATAAGGCTCTTCAAAATTCTATTTCAGCTTGTGTCAGTGTTTCCTCCCCCCTCCCACAAGGAATTCAGTCATCTCATCTAAGTTGTCAAAGCAATAAGATTGTTAATAATATTCCCTTCCCACCCCCTTAACAGCCATTTTATGTCTATAGGATCTACAGTGATATCCTCCTCTCTTTTCTATCTGATATTAGTAATTAGAGTTCTCTCCTTTTTCCTAGGTCAGTCTACCTAAGGGTTTATCAATTCTGCTAGCTTACCAATGAACACATTTTGGATTTTGTTAATTTTCTTTACTGTTTGTCTTTTATTTATTTGATTTCTGCCCTTTATTATTTCTGCTCTTCTACTTACTTTGGGTTACTCTGCTATTTCAAATTTCTTAACATGAACATTGGATCAGTGATTTTAGTCCTCAGTTTTCTAATATAAGCATTTAAAGCTACAACTTTCCCCCAAATCACTACTGTAGCTGCATCCATATTTTTATTATCATTCAGTTCAAAATATTTTCCAATTTCCCTTGTGACTTCTTCATTGTCCCATGAATTATTTTAAAATGTGCTGTTTAATTCCCCAATATTTGGGGATTTTCTATTGTTACTGAAATCTAATTCCATTGTGGTCAAAGAACATATTCTATATCATTTCAATCCTTTTAAATATATTAAGGCTTGTTTCATGCTCCAGTACATGGTCTACCATATGCCAGCTTTCATTTGTTTACACCTCCACACCACCAAAAATCTCCTACTGCTGTCAGTATAAAATAAGTGCCAAAAAATGTGGAAAGGACAAAACCCACTGATCTTTATTCCTATTATTCAAGATTTTTTTTCTTTTTCCTTTTTTTCTAATTTCTATATTAATTGTAGTATACTGTAGAAGCATATTCCTTGTGTAAAAACTGAAAAAACTTACAAAGTGTGACTTTCATTTGGAAACAAGCTACAAACAATTCATCACAGTTTTCCCTTAATTAAATGGCAATCCTAATATTTTTCTTCTTTAAAGAAAAATGAGATTTATGCTTCAAAGGGCATGGATGAGAAACCAAGTTTATCCTAATTAATTCTTCAATGCAAAACAAAAAGCTAGATATAAGAAGTTTCTTTCTTATTGTTATCATACAGTTTTTGAAAGAGGAACAGCATAAAAGGGATATAGGTAATATCTCAAACTCCCTATAACCAGAAGGTATGTGTTTAGGTTTAAGGGTTTTTGCTGTGATTGCAGTCTTCAGTGAGGCAAAATCCCAGCCCTTCCTAAGACATTTCTCTTCTCTGCCCAAATGAAAAGCCACAGGTATTTTGCACACTTCCAGTTCTGTGGCAAAATACAAGCAAGTTTTGCACAGTCCCATAAGGCACAGAGCTGTATGCCTCAGGTATGTGAAGGCCACAACATAAGTTCTTATTTGAATGCAACATGACACTAGTCTTAAAATCTCATTAACATTATAGTCTCTCTCACACAGCCAAACAAGAATACTATTATTATCAGTTGAAATGATATATCCGTAGTTATAATAAAGTAAATCCAAAATCTAGTTTGTAAAAAGTGGCTGCAGAATGTTTTTTTCAATACAAAACATTTTTACGTTATGAATCAAGCTGAGCCAAACTAAAAATGGTTATATAAAGTATTATGCTTAGTCTGTGCATGGCCACACATTATGCACATAGAAAGAATTTCTCAACTTTTAAAAATCAGTTACCGTGTTCTTCCTGTCAATAAGCTTCTTCTTGGGTTTCCCCTACAGAAGCAGAAAGGACAACTGGGTTAGAGAATGCTATTCAGATATTCTATCTTGAGTTCACACACACATATACTCCTGATGTTCTTATTACAGAGATTTGACATGGAATTAAGCCAGGGAGGGCATTTTTGGGGAGAAGCAGACAGATAAATTGAGAACATTCTCATAGAAGAGTGCTGTGAGCTGGAGGGAGGATCAATAAAAATAAAAAAGGAAATGACAAATAAATTCCAGAGAAAAATCGTAACAATTACTTACATTTGTCTACCTTTTTACAAAGCAAATCACACTTATCTCTCACAACAACCATGTGAAGAAGGTTGTTTTAGATCCATTTATATAAAGGAGTGGGATAAGATAATTTTGTGACCTGCCTATGTTTAAAGCTTAAAGGTTTATATTTGAGCCTAGGGATTAGGTCTTAGACTGCAGTGCTCTTTCTACTTTCAATGCAATGTTTTAGGAAAGGAAACCAAGTTCAATCCTCAAAGGGTTCAAAAAGGATGTTCATCAGAAATAGATTTTCAACAATTTAAATTTCTATTAAAAAAAAAAAAGAGATGCTCTCCATTGTCTCTAAACTAGGGTTGGGTTGTAATCACGGGAATTGAGTGCTATTCATGTTTAAGTATGCTTTTGTTTTTCTTTTAAAAGTCTCTCCTCAATTTTTTTTGGGGGGTGGGGGGGATTTCTCCAGTTTTACTTGTTCTCATTTACATATATCTATATTTACTTCAATATGATTTCATCACTGTGTGGGTTCACATATCCACCAGCACAGTCAAGATACTGAACACTTACAACACCATAAGGATTTCCTGTGTTGCCCTTTCATAACCACACACACATCTTATCTAACCGCTCTCCCATTTATCTGTTCTCCATTCTAAAATGTTGTCATTTCAAAAATGTCATGTAAATGGAATCACACAACATGTAACCTTTCGTGCTGGTGTTTTAAAAGAGACAAATGTAATGTAGATTGTATCTACAGATAATCAAGTGAAAAGGTTGCCTTCACCAAGATGTTTCGTCTTTCCTTTCTCATGTCTTCTATCCATGTTAATGTCCTGATATTGTCACATTATCGGAAAGTCTCAAAATGGTTTTAACTTTTTCACTGAAATAATGGTTTTCCCTAGAAATTTGCAATCATGGCTTCATAATACTATCGCCTGGACAGCTGTTAGTATGTACCAATACTTAACTCTGGTGGGGCCAGGGCATAAATATGATTTACTATATTTTACTAATATGCAGCCAGTGTTAAACCTATTGCCATACTGTAAGATAGTACATAAGATAATGCTTGTCAGAACACGGTGGATAGGAGGGGAGGACTCAGGGTAGACAAAATTAACCTAAAAGAAATTATTAGAGAATTAGTTTGAAAGTGGTCTGACAATAATGCAATTGGATTTGCAAGAGGGAAACCAATTCAGATTGAGAGAACAGATTAACACAATTTCATTTTTTCAGTGCATGCATTTGTGTGTGTGCCTACCATGTGGTATGTTCTTAATACTGACAAAGATGAACATAAAGTACCTATTTGTAAGAGCCAACTTAGGAAGTACAAGTTAGTAAACAGGCAATTATAATATAATCTAGGAATCTAAATCAGACTGAGGGATAAAAGGGCTGGGAGTACGTCCTCCTAGTCTAGGTTAGAGGAAGGAGGACATAGCTAGAACAATTTAGGGATAGATTAAAGGCCATTCCAAAAGAAGGTGAGTTTTTAGGATAAGGAGGTATGAAAGAGCAAGCAGATATAGTCTGATTGGTCATGGATTGGTGTGTAAAAGTAGAGATTAGACTAAAAAGGTAGGCAAGAGTAGATTATGAGGGATTTTCTTTGCTAAAAAGGGAAATTTATGATTTTTTAATCAAAGTTTTTAGAATGCTTTATAAGCAGGAGTCATTAAGTGGGGCCTGAAGAAAGAATGTAGGTGGTACACGAACTTTGATGAAAAAAAAATTACATCCTCTAATTGAAATTTAGAGGTTCCTCCATATAAATGTAGGAAATTATCCACACTAGTGGATTAGAGTGAGTTCATTAGTAAAAGAAATAATACATCTTTTTTCATGTTACTTTAGAATTGCCCCAAGTATCTCAAAATACTGACAGTATTTAATCATTCTTTGAAATTATGGTAATAATTAGACCTGCTGCTAGGTCTTGTTTCTTAATGTGTTAATAAAGAAGTACATATTCTTGTATTATATCTCTAATTTTTTATTGTTATGCTGCTCCTACGGGAATGCTTCCTAATTTTGGCTAGTGTGCTGGTCCCCACATTGCATGCTATGCCCTCCTTCCCCCTCATAGATAATAATCCAAGTATGGAAAGACCCAGCCTCAAGCATAGGGTCCATGTCTGTTCAGAAACTGACCCATACAACCTGTGAAGAAGCCCAGGCAAACTACCAACTTTAAGCAAACAGTCCATTACTTCTAAATATGACTGGACAATCAAAGATCACCAAATATTTGCTGATATGTGACTGTATAAACTAAAGAGAACAAGATGAACAAACAGAACTAATCCAGAAGAATTAAATATAAAGTAAAAAACAGAAACTTTAAACAAAGATAGTCAGAAAGATTTGAAAAGGCATTACACACAAAATGTGAAAATTAATCAGACAGCAAAAACAGTTCTTGGATATTAAAATCATACTTGCCAAAATAAAAAAGTAAATCAAACAACCCTCTCCTGCAGTGGTAATAAATAATAAAATAGACAAGGCTGAAGACCAATTTAGAGTTTTAGAAGAAAAAGTTAAAGAAATCTCCAAGAATGTAAAGCTAAGAGACGAGCTCGAAAGTATGAAAAAAGTAAAGAAATATGGAGGCTATAGCCACAATTTATCTAACAGAAGTTCCACAAGGAGAGGACGGAGGATAACAGGAATATTTCTCACAGTTGAAAGACCTAAATCTTCAGACTGAAAGAACTCATCCACTGCAAAACCAAAATAATGAAAAATGACACACCTGAACACATCCTGGTAAAGTATCTGAGCTCTAAATATAAATGAATCTTGTAAAAGTTTTCAGAGAGGTGGAAAAACCCCAAAACCCCAGGTTATATGTATTCTAATTAAATCCAAAGACCTCTTTCATTATAAGCTATACAACGTGATTACTTACAACAGTAATTACCACAAACTTACAGACAGAAATTGCAAATCCCACATATTTCCTGATACTAGAACATGACATTGCAAAAAATGGGTGAACTCTGGGTATTTATTTGAAGAATCCTTCTAAAAAGCACATATATCCTCAAAATAATATAAATTTCTCTAAATAACTAGGGTGCCTTATTTTGATAATCAATTACTGAACTGTACTGCTAAGCAATAATGTCTTCAGTGGCTACAAAAGTTTGTGGGACTAAGTAGTCCCTGATTGCTGTGCTATTTGAATTCCAATGTCTGTTTTCCATCATTTCCCCCTATTTTCCCTTGTATTGAGATTATCAGTTGTCATTTCTTACAAGTCTTAGTGTATTTATTTTGTGAATTATCCCCCCTCCACTTTTTCTAATCTAATAATTCTATTTTCTGGTCTAGAAAACAGATAATCATATCGTCTCAATTGTGTTTAAAGTGAAAAGACATCAGTAAGGGCCTTCATTGGAGAAGAATAAAGTTTAGTGCATCTGGTAAGATTGCTCAAAGATATTTATGGTTTAATTTTTGGTTTTAGAAAATGTTACAAAGTGCTGAAAGTTAATGATCAATTCTGGAAAAATTAGGTATTATATCATGTTTTCTGTAGGACCCTTTCTATCAAAGATTTTACATGAAGACTTTTACAAAGCTGCTTTTCTTCTTTTGCATGTACTTTCTCCTAATCTTGTGATCCAGTCCTAAATGCATAAATTTAGCAAATCCCCACCTGTCCTGAAAGAGGCGTGTGGCCAGCATATAATTCATGGAGGTCTTATGCTCAAGGTAGGCCCTGAAAGACAACAAAAGAAACTGTTATTTCTTGAGCTTAGTTAAGAGGAAAACATAGAAAGAAAACCATGAATCAAGCAAAGAACTAACAGGTTACTTATGTACTGTTTCTAAAGAAATATATTCTTTCTAAAGTGGAAAAGGAGGGAACAGTTGCTCAAATTAAAATTATAAGATACTAGAGGAGCAGCAAATAGAATAAAATGAAAAGAATAAAGAAAAAGAGGACTTAATTTATGATAATTTATGATAAGCCCACTGCCAATATCATTCTGAACAGGGAAAGGCTGAAAGCTTTTCCCTGAAAGACAGGAACTAGACAAGGATGCCCACTCTCACCACTCTTATTCAACACAGTGTTCAAAGTACTAGCCAGAGCAATCAGAGAAGAGAAGGAAATAAAGGGCATCCAGACTGGAAATGATGAAGTCAAACTGTCCCTGTTTGCAAATAATATGATCCTATATATTGAACAGCCTAAAGCCTCTACAAAATCAACACACAAAAATCAGTATCATTTCTATACTCCAACAGTGAACATGCAGAAAGAGAAATCAAGAAAGCTAGCCCATTTACAATAGCCACCAAAAAAATAAAATACTTGGGAATAAAGTTAACCAAGGATGTGAAAAATCTCTATGAAGACAACTACAAACCACTGTTGAGAGAAATTAAAGAGGACACCAGAAGATGGAAAGATAACTCATGCTCTTGGATTGAAAGAATTAACATTGTGAAAATGTCCGTATTACCCAAAGTGATCTACAAATTCAATGCAATTCCCACCAAAATTCCAATGACATTTTTCTCAGAAATGGAAAAAAACTATCCAGACATTTATATGGAATAACAAAAGACCACACATAGCCAAAGCAATCCTGAGCAAAAAAAATAAAGCTGGAGTCATAACACTATCTGACTTTAAACTATATTTCAAAGCTATAATAACCAAAACAGCATAGTACTGTCATAAAAACAGACACATGGATCAATGGAATAGAACAGAGAACCCAGAAATCAACCCATACACCTACAGCCATCTGATCTTTGACAAAGGCACCAAGTCTACACACTGGGGAAGAAACTGTCTCTTCCTCAAATGGCACTGGGAAAACTGGATATTGGATTAAAGATTTAAATATACATCCTGAAACAATAAAACTCCTTAAAGAAAACATAGGGGAAACACTCCAGGAAGTAGGAGTGGGTACAGACGTCATGAACATGATCCCAAAGCACAAGCAACTAAAGGAAAAAGATGGACTTAGAGAAAATTATATTAAGGGAAACAAGTCAGGCACAAAAAGAGAAATACCACATGTTCTCACTTATTTGTTGGAGCTAAAAATAAATAAATAAACACATAAACAAATAGTGTGTGAGGGGGAAGAAGACACAACAATCACAACGCTTCCTTGAAGTTGTTAAGACAAGCGAACAGATATGATGTAGTGGGAGGAAGGGGAGAGAGGGAGGGGGGAAAGAGGAAAGGGTAAAGGGTCACGAAAATCAACTACAATGTATATCGAGAAGTTAAAATAAAAATAAATAAATTAATTAATTTTTAAAAACTAAAAAAGAATTAACAACAACAACAAAAAAAACCCCCTCTGATTTAGAGTGTGTGTCTGTCTGGACAAGCTCCAAAGCTTTTCATTGACTCAATAAAGATTTCTGACAAAAATTAATAATAATAATAATAAAGTAAAGAAAAAGAAAGAAAAGGCAGTAGTTCTTAGGTTAATAAAAGATGATATATGAAATTCAGAAAATAAAATTGAAAGATGAGAATACCACCAAAATAATTACATATAGAAGAGGTCAACGAAAGTGAGAGAGAGGAGATACATAAAAAGCATTGCAAATATATATAGGAGACTGTTTTAATCATGCTATTTCTCAACTTAAGAGCTCTGAATGGCTCCCTCATGCCTGCTACAGGAAGCACACACTTTCTCTTCCAAACTTTCAAACATTTTATACTTTGTACCACCAATTCATTCACACTTTCTCCACACAGTTGCCCAACATTGATCCTGCAGTATGGCCAGACAAGTCTCCTCAGAATCCTCTCACACCACCCCTCCTACTGATTCTTTGCCTCTGACTTGACACCTTCTCCCTACACTCTCTACTTATCTATAATCTGTCCTTCAAGAAGCAGATCAAGTCCACCCTGTTGTATGAAGCCTTCCCTTATTTGACTACTCTAAGTCTGTAGAGTTCCCTTGTCTGAACTGGTCTTTATTGTATGTCTGAGGGACCTGCCATAGACTGTCTCAGAGTCAACTTTTTCTTCTAGGAAAGCTGCATGATGCACTGGGGAAAAAGTCTGAGGTCAGAATACCTGACTCAAGTCCCACTGTGAGATCATAAACAAGTCACATTACTTAACTGAACCTTAATTTCCTTGTCATTAAAATGTGAATGATAACAAGGATGTGTACAAAGTACACTGTAATTACAAAGAGCTTCACAATATGAGCTATTTTTTACACTTATAAATAATTTCTCCATAAACATACTGTTAACTCTCAAAGGGCAGTAATCCCATCTAATATTTATTTTATGCTCCGAAGAGCCAAACATAGTGCTAGACACTTGGTTGATGATAAATATGTATTAATAAAATGGCATATTCATATGTTAGTAGATAAACACATCTCCTCCACTCTACATGAAGGCTGCTCAATTAGTTTAATATTCTTGGTCTCTCTCTTTTTTCTCAGAATGCACCAGGAGAAGTGGAGTGACTTACCAATCTGATTGGCAATCTAGGAAGAATAAACAAAACATGCTCCAATGAGCATGTCCCTTCTTTCGCTTGGGAGATAATCTCCCCATAGGAAGTACATATACTCTGCTGCTCCTATAGTCAGGTGCTCCCCATACACGGCTCAGTCCAAACTTGCCTACAAAGGGGCATGTAAGTCTGTTCCTGTTCAACAGGAAGTGCATTTGCTTGCAGACAGATATAAGCAAGTCCCAACCTAGACTTTATCAGTAAGAAAGACTGTCTCCATCTTAGTCCTTGTCTTATCTCTCAGTTGGTTCAGAACCAAACCAGTACAGAAAGCTATCTGTCTTTATTAGACTCCCCTAAGAGACCTGAGCATTATTTGTAACTGATTCCTTATAAAAAGGTAATCAAATTAAGGTCCCATCTCTTGAAATACTCGAAAGTGGAGGGTTCCACTTTCATTAATTAAAAGCTATGTTTTCTAGGAAATACAAAAACTCAACATATCAAAAATGTACTTCTATCTAACTGTGAAGAAAATCCAATCACTTTTTTTGTGGAACTCCTAGGATTTTACAAGGTGGAACTACGCGGAAAACATATTTTGCAAAATAAAAGGAAGAATTCTCTATGAATAGCTAAGCTTTCAAAATAAAACAAAATAAGCAAGCAAACAAAAAACTGCATTATTTTTTCTCTCTTATTCCTCTAAGTTATAGCTTTGTAATTAGAACCAAATGGAATTTGACCAGGGAACACTTCTCTCCTACAGCTGGTCCCCAGCTTACGATGGTTTGGCTTAAAATTTTTCGACTATACAATGGGTTGATCGGGAGGTGACCCCATTGTAAGGATAACCCATTGTAAAAAGTATCTGCACTTATGATGGTCAACTTATGATTTTGAATGGGTTAATTGGGCTCTTAAGTGATGGACATTTCTAAACACTCCAACAACAGCAGAATACACATTTTTTTCAATGTACATGTTAACATTTACCAAGATAAACCATATTTTGAGCCATATAACAAACCAAAAAGACCTAGTTATACAAAGTATGTTCTCTGAACTCAGTAGAGGCAAATTGGAAATCAATAACAAAAAGACCTCTGGGAAAACCCCAAGTATTTGAAAACTAAATTAACATACTTCTAATAACCCTTTGGCAAAAAGAAAAACAAAAGAGAAAGTATTCTAAATAGAATGAAAACAAAACATAACAATCAAAATGTGTGGGATGCTGTTAAAGTTGTACTTAGTGGGAAATTTACAGCACTAAACACTTACATTAGGAAAAAAGACCTCGAATCAATGACCTCAGCTTACACCTAAAGAAACTAGAAAAGCAAATGAAGACTAAAGTAAGCAGAAGACAGGAAATATTAAAGATTAGAGTAGAAATCAATGAACTAGAACTCAAAAAGAACAGAAAAAAGAAATCAAAAGGCTGTTCTCTGGGAAGATCAATAAATTTGATAAATCTCTAGCCAGAATGAGCAGAATAAAGAGAGAAAAAAACCAAATGAACAATATCAAAAATGTGAGAGGCAACATTTCAGATTCTATAGATATTAAAAGGATAAGTGAATAATATTATGAATAATTTTATGCTTATGACAATATAGACAAAATGGACAAACTCCTTAACAGACACCAGCATTACCAGAGCTCATTCAAGTAGAAATAGATAACCCGAATAGCCCTATATCTATTAAAGAAACTGAAATTGAACTTCTGGTCCAGATGGCTTCAATACTGAATTCTACCAAACATTCAAGGAACAAATAATACTAATTTCACACAAACTCTTCCAGTAAATTGAAGAGACAGGGATACTTCCCAACTTATTCTATGAAGCCAGCATTACTCTAAATCCAAAACCAAAGACATTATAAGAACTTCAGACCAATACCCCTTATAAACATAGATGTAAAAATTCTAAACAAAATTTTAGCAATTCAAATTCAATAGTATATAAAAAGGATAATACATCACAATAAAGTGGGGTTTATTCCAGGAATACAACATTGATTTAACATTCAAAAATCAATGTAATTCAATGTATTTACAAACCAAAAAGGAAAAATTATATGATCATCTCAAGAGACGCAGAAAAAGCATATGACAATTCCACATCCATTTCTGACAAAACCTTTAGCAAAGAAGGAATAGAAAGGAACTCCCTTAACCTGATGGAGGGCATCTATGAAAAACCTAGAGCTAACATCATACTTAATGGTGAAAGAATGAATGCTTTTCCCTAAGATCAGGAGCAAGACAGGAATGATTACATTCACTAGTCCTATTCAGCACTGTGAGAGAGGTTCTAGCTAATGCAATCAAGCAAGAAAAAAGAAATAAAAGACATCTATATTAGAAAGAAGTAAAACTGTCTTTATTCACAGATAACATAATTATCTATGTAGAAAATCCAAGGGAATCTACAAGAAAGCTACTACGACACATAGATGAGTTTAGCAAGATTGTAGGACACAAGATCAATATGCAAAAAGCAATTATATTTCAATATACTAGCAACAAACAATCAGAAATTGAAATTAACAAAATGCTATCATGCATCAAAATACTAAATAGTTAGAAATAAATCTGAAAAAAGATGTAAAACACTGCTGAGAAAAATTAAAGAAGACCTAAATAAATGGGTAGATATACCTTGTTCATAGGTTGGAAGACTCAACATTGTTAAGGTGTCAACTCTCTTCAAATTGATTTAGAGAGTCAATGCAATTCCAATCAAATTTCCAAAGAGGCATTTGTGTAGAAATTGACAAACTAATTATAAAATTCATATGGAAATGCAAAATGACCTAGAAAAACCAAAAATAACTTGGAAGAAAAAGTTAGAACAGATCTATTATAAAGCTATGGTAATCAACACAGTGTGGTACTGTATTGGCACAAAGACAAATAGATCAGTAACTGTCCAGAAACAGACCCACACACCAATTTTCCACAAAAGTGAAAAGGCAATTCAATGGAAATGAATGTTAAATCTTTTCAACAAAAGATTGCTCAAACCATTATCTATATGAAAAAAAGAACTTTGGTCTATACCTTGTAGCATATGGAAAAAATTAACTCAAAATGAATCAAAGACTTAAATGTAAAACTTAAAACTATAAAGCTTCTGGAAGAAAACATAGGAGAAAGTTTTTGTGGCTTGGGATAGGCAAAGATTTCTTAGATAAAACACCTAAATCATAGTTCATAAAAAGGAGAAATACTGAACTTTAACAAAGTTAAAAAATTCTGCTCTTCAAAAGACAATGTTAAAAGGATGAAAAAGACAAGTCACATGCTGGGAGAAAATTTTTTCAAAGCATATATCTGATAACGGACTTACATCCAGAATATATAAACTCTCAAAACTCAATAGTCAGGAAACAAATAATCTCATTAAAAAATGAGCAAAATACTTGATCAAAGAAGATATGTAAATGGAAAATATGCACACAAAGAGATGCTCATCATTAGTCATTAGAGAAATGCAAACCAAACCACAATGAGATATCACTATACACCTCCTAGGGACTAAAATTAAAAAGACTGATCATACCAACTGTTGGTGAGGATGTGGAGAAACTGGAATTCTCATACACCTATGATGGAAAAGTAAAATGATACAACCACCTTAGAAAACTTTATGGCAGTTTCTAAAAAAGTTCTACATAAACAATATGATCCTAAGGGAAACAAACATGTCCATACAAGCTTTATTTGTAATAACCAAAAGCCACAAACAACCCAAATGTCCATCAACAAATTCTGGTGTATGCCTATAATAGAATACTACTCAGCAACAAAAAGGAATTAAACCACTGATATATCCTACAGCATATAAGAATATAAAAATAAACTATGCCAAGTAGAAGTGGCCTGTGGAATTCTATTTATGTAAAATCCTAGGAAATGCAAATTAATCTTTAGTGACATAACAGAGATCAGTAGCTGCCTCTGGACGGGGGGGTGGGGGGAAAAGGCAGGAGAGAGAAACTACAAGGGACACAGGGAAATTTGTGGAGGTGATGTTTGTTATCTTGTTTGTGGTAGTAGTTTCACAGATATACACACATGTTAAAACTTATCAAACTGTATACTTAAAATATGTGCAGCATATTGTATGTCAATTATACCTCAATAAACCTGTTAAAAAAAAATACCACTAAAAGTCACCCAAAAGCACGAAATAGTGATAAATTCTGAAAAACATATCCAGTGTAAAGACTTTTACATTGAAAATTACAAATCGTTGTTAAAAGAAATCAAAGAAGATTGAAATAAATGGAGAGAGAGATCATATTTATGAAATGGAAAACTCAATATTATTAAGATGTCCACTCTCCCGAAATTAATACATACACTCAATGCAATCCCAATCAAAAGCCAGCAAGGCTTTTGTGTAGAAATGGACAAAGCAACTCTAAAATACCTTTGGAAACACAAAGGATGCAAAATAGTCAAAATAATTTTGAAAAACAACAAAGTTAGAAGACTCACACTACCGAATTTTAAAGCTTAGTATAAAGCTACAGCAATCAAGACAGATATAGATCTGTGAAACTGAATAGAGCCCAGAAATAGGACCACACATATATTTCAATTCATTTTCAACAAAGATACTGGCATAATTAGTGAGATAATTTCAACAAATAATGATGAAAAAAATGGGTAATCTGGAAAAAAATGAATCCTTACCTCACACTACACACAAAAATTAATACATATCATAGACCTAAATATAAAATCTAAAATTATAGGACATCCAGAAGAAAACATAAGAGAAAAAATTGCCAAGTTGGGGATGCTAAGGATTTCTCACCCAGGAAACATGAAATGCATTAGCCCTAAAAAATCTGGTCAACTGGACTTCACTTCTGTTCAAAAGCCACTATTCTAAAAATGAAAAAGTTAGCCACACACTTGGAGAAAATATTCACTATATAGATATCTGAGAAAGGACTAGTATCAAGTCCTTTACAATGCAGTGATAAGAACATTAAAATCCTAAATTTAAAATGAAAAAAAAGACATAAATAGCCAACACCACATGAATAGATGCCCAGTATCATTATTCATCAGAGAAAAGCAAATTAAAACCACAAAGAGATACATTACACAGCCTAAAGTAGACTGCCTAAAGTTTAAAAGCCTGGCAATATCAAGTGTTGGCAATATCAAGTGTTGGCAACAATGGGGACCATTCCCAATGGGGAACTTTCATACATCATTAGTAAAAATGTAAAATGAGGGGCCGGCCCGGTGGCGCACTGCTACAGTGCGCCGCTTGGGAGCGCGGCGGCGCTCCCACTGAGGGGTCAGATCCCACATACAGACCGGCCGCTCACTGGCTGAGCGAGGAGCGTGGGCAACCCCGAGGGTTGCGATCCCGTAGCCGGTCCCGGTCCGGTACAGGCGCGACCCTGAGGGTTGCGATCCGTTGCCGGTCACGAAAAAAAGAAAAAAAGAAAGAAAAAAAAAAAAAATGAAAAAAGGGGGGCCGGCCCGGTCGCGCATTGCTACACTGGGCCGCTTGGGAGCGCGGCGGCGCTCCCACTGAGGGGTCAGATCCCACATACAGACCGGCCGCTCACTGGCTGAGCGAGGAGCGTGGGCAACCCCGAGGGTTGCGATCCCGTAGCCGGTCCCGGTCCGGTACAGGCGCGACCCTGAGGGTTGCGATCCGTTGCCGGTCACGAAAAAAAGACAAAAAGACAAAAAAAAAAAAAAAATGTAAAATGATACTACCGCTCATAATATGACCCAAATATTCCACTCCTAGATATTTACCCAAGAGAAATGAAATCATAAGTCCACACAGGTAATTGTACATGAATGTTCACAGCAGCTTTCTTCATAATAGGCCCAAACTGGACACAACACAAATGTTCCGCAACAGGTGAATGGGTAAACAAATTGTGGTATACTCACACAATGAAACAGTACATAACAATAATAAGAAATGAACTACTACTTCACACAACACCACAGATAAATCTCAAAAACACTATGCTGAACAAAAGAATCTGGACACAAAAGAGTACACACTGTATGATTACATTTATATGAAATTCTAGAAAAACTACAGTGACAGAAAGCAGATCAGCTGATGTCTGAGGCCTGGGGTTACGGGAGTGATTAACTGTAAAGGAGCACAAGGGGACTTATGGAGGTGATGAAAATACTTTCTATCTTGATTTGGTGGTAGCAGTGGTTAAACTGGTGTTTATATTTGTCAAAAATCATCAAACTGTACACTTAAAATGGATAGATTTTATTGCATGCGAACTAGATCTCAGTGATGATTAAAAATAAACAATATAATGTTAAGGCACACATACAGAAGACAACTCCCCCCCCCATCAAGATAATAATAAACACAAAATTTATGACAATGTCTAACCCTGGGTTAGGGGGCTAGTTAGGAGGGAGGCAGGAGATTTTAAAAAGGGAGGAATAATACATAGGTAGATTAAATTACCATTAATGATCTAGTTCTTGGACTGGGTAATATTTGTCATATTATAAATAAACAAACAAACAAAATAGGAAAGGCACCATGTGGGGAACAATGATGACAGTGTATCACAAGTAATCTAATTCTATATACCTGAGGTACAGATCTAAAAAAAAAAAAAAAAAAAAAAGAAAGGTAGTCACCTCACCCATATATTTCCCATGTCTCGGATGTAGGAAATATGCGAATAAATCCACCTCTCCGATCATTCTCTTCTTTTACCCTCCGTAAAACTTTGATCTAGATGGAAGAAGAGAAAATAAAGTAAAATGAGTACAGTTGTATGCCGCACAACAACGTTTTGGTCAACAACGGATTGCATATAAATGGTGGTCCTACGAGATTATAACAGCTATACCATATAGCCTAGGTGTGTGTTAGGCTACACCATCTAGGTTTGCGTAAGTAAAATCTAGGATGTTTGCACAACAATGAAATTGCCTAACAAATAATTTCTCAGAACATACCCTTGTCTTTAAGTGATGTGTGACTACCTATTTTGAAAACTGGAATCCATGTGGCTACGGGACAAAGGGAGAGGGTTATGGCACAATATGAAAGAAATATGAAGGGAGGAATTAATTCCATTTAAGGTGCTTCCTAAGAAGAAATTTTTCTTCCATCCTGAATCTTTCTCTTTTCAACATAAGATATGAGTTTGTCATGAATATTATGAATCACACACAAACTTTCCCTGAACCTGAGCCTGTGCTAACCCTGTGATTTATCCTTACCTCCTCCATTGACAGACCAAGCACAGAACCACCTAACTTCCCAGGCACCTTCTCCCGAGCTGAGCCCACAAGGTTTTTCATTTCTGCATCACTGGCAGAGAGTGGACGTGCATGCTAGAAGAAGAAAATAAAAAATTTAAAAAATTAAGAAAATTAAAAGACAACAAAACAGTTTTCATCATCTTTCCTCATTTCCTTCTGTTTATTCCCTCAACATCATTATCTTTAATATGTATAGCTCAAATCCATAGCCCATTTTCTGTAATTAATCTCTTAGCCCGAAGCTAGTAAACTCAAAGGCAAGAAGATAAAACAGAATAGTAGGAAAACATTATGTATGGAGAGAGAAACAAGTAGAAAAAAAGAAAGACGTCCACATAACTTTCTAAGTTAGTACATACTCGTAATCTTAAAGTATTGTATTTCAAGGGTATAGAAAAAATCTGAAAATAGACTCAGTGGAAAAGTAAATATGTATTTATTTCAGTAATTGTATTCTTTTCAGCACCGGGGAAGGAGAGTTAGGAGAATTGAGACATAAGACAAAAAACCAAGAAACAATCTATTATGTCATAGACGAAAAAGGTAGGCTGTGGGATGTTTTAGAACTTGAGGGGGGAAATACTGAGATGAGAGTCATCAGTGACACAGAAAACAGCTGTGGACCAAAAGAGTACAAAAACACTGGGCTGCTGGACTTCAAGAGACCTGGAGCAAGGATGACTGCTCTGGGTACTCCAAGGAAGCAGCCAAATGGGTCACGTTCATCACCGATCCCAAAGGATGATCTGGACTATTTCAGCTTCTTTTTTTTTTTTTTTAAAAGATGACCGGTAAGGGGATCTTAACCCTTGACTTGGTGTTGTCAGCACCACACTCAGCCAGTGAGCAAACCGGCCACCCCTATATGGGATCCGAACCCGTGGCCTTGGTGTTATCAGCACCACACTCTCCCGAGTGAGCCACGGGCCGGCCCTATTTCAGCTTCTGAAAGATGATCAGGGAGGTCATCAGAATACAAAAGTTTTAAGTGATTTTGATTTTATATGAACAGAGAAATAGGAAGATAACAAAGGAAGTCAGATGATATGAAGTATGATGATATACTATTATTGAGATAGATGAAGTGACAGATAAAATAAGACAAGTCTACCCAATAGAGAGGATAAGAAATAATTCAAGAACAATTGGTATAAATTGTCTTCTAATTCCTAGAAGTAATGTCAATCAGAGATAAGCCACCCCATTGTCAGCAGCTATTATTTGTCTTTTTCTATGTGTAGATTGTCTTTGGAAAGGCATTTTGGTAACTAACTTTTGGCCTTTGCTGCCATATCCACTGTTACAGATTGAATGTTTGTGTCCCTCCAAAATTCGTATGTGGAAGCCCTAACCCCTATGTGATGACACTCAGAATAGAAGATAACTAGGGTTAGATAAGGTCATGAGGGTGGGACCCTGGTCTAATGGGATGGGATCAGTGCCCTTACAAGAAGAGACACCAGAAGGAAGCCACCTACAATCCAAGAGAAGAAGCCTCAGAATGAACCCTTCTTTGGTGGCACCTTCATCTTGGACTTCCTAGTCTCCAGAACTATGAGAAACAAACTTCTGTTGTTTAAGCCACCCAGTTTGTGATATTTGCTACAGCAGTCTGAATAGACAAATGTGCACAAATAATTGAATCGTTTTACCTTTGGACACAGGGAGACCAATGTATACAAATCTTCAAAGTTAACATGGGAGTTACAAAAACTAGATTTTCTGACAGGCAACTGCATATTGAGATACTTATATAAAGAAAAAACATGAAACTAACAGATATAAGCAACATGTGAAGACAGGGACTTTTAGCTTTTATTGTGGTATCTTCAACATCTAGAACAGTACTTGGCATGGAGTAGATCAATAAATACTTGTTGAACAAATAAATAATTGAGTGAATGTGCTGACATACAAATCAATCGTGGTTAGAATTAAAATTTGCAGAGGATTTTGGGATATATTTTAATTCCCTTTAATCTCTGTGAATACATTAAACAGTAAATGTTAGAATGAGAGCAGAATAATGGGGAAATTAAGATTTAGGAATGAAACCAATATAAGTAGTCCAATCATTAAATGTGAATGCTTATTTAGTGTATAATTTGGAAAAAACAAAATTATAAATTGATGAGTTGAGGACTTTTCTCATGATCATATACTACTTATTGTTTGCCACAAAGTGCTTATCTAGTTCACATGTGACAGCGTGGCTCTGATTATAAAGGCACTGGCAGTAAATTCTCCAAAGTCAAGTAGACCTTCTTACCTGACATTATTTAAGGATACTTTCAAGTTGTCTTGAATTATGTAAGGAGAGAGTAAGAAGTAAGCATGCATTTAAATGATATAATAAAAATAAAGATTTTGGGGCTGGCCCGGTGGCGCACTCGGTAGAGTGTGGTGCTTGGGAGTGCGGCGGCGTTCCCGCCGAGGGTTTGGATCCCATATAGAGACCAGTCCGCTCACTGGTTGAGCGCGGTGCGGGTGCGACACCGAGGGTTGCGATCCCGTTACCGGTCACGAAAAAAGACAAAAAGAAAATAAATAAATAAAGATTTTTATTAAGCATTTTAGAATAGAAAGAATGCTAAAGTGTTGATAAACTAAAATCTTTATTATTATCTATTAGAATAGTTTTAAGGAATGCATGATTGTACTTGTAGGAACAATCACTATTGAATGACATCTAATAAGCACCTCCAATTGGTTTTTTTTTTTTAATGGTTTTTAATATTCCTGGCTTCTAGGAATTAAGATAATGATGTTGTAACCTTCCTCTACTACCTACCTAATGCAGCTCCTGTAAACAATGAATTAGCACCCCCAAACTCTTAAACTTCTCTGCCAATCACTTTCAAAGAAGCTGTCTCTCATACATATTCACAACCACTCCTTTGTTACAGCCCTAATTCTAGCTCTCGCTACTGCATGCACATATGTGGGCTGTTTGGGGGAGAAGGCATATAGGAATTCAGGCTTGTGTTTCTGGCTGGGCTATTTCGGAGGTTTGAGAAAGGAAGGCATGTGACCTGAATTACAGACATAGGTGAGAGAAAAGGCAGAGAAAGAGAGAAGGGGAGAAAAAAACGATAAGAAGGAAAAAAATAAAAAGAAATGTTTGAGTGTCAAGAAGACACACTTGGAGATTAAAAGCAAAGCAAAGAAAAAAAGGAATTTGACTGATTTGAAAGGCTATCAGGACTATCAAAAACAAGAGCAAAACAGTCCAAATGCAAGCTATTCTCTGGGTGGTAGATATAATAAATCCACATATTACAGTGGTTTTATTGAATGCACTGAGAAAATAACGCTCTTCTGAACTTAAAGAAAACCACTGCCTCTGGCTACATGACACACGATTTAAACTACCAGGTGCTCAGATAAATTTCATACTGCCGAATAACTGTCTAGGTAAGAATTCTGCCAAAGATGTTAAATTATCATTAGTACACTACCCAGAAAAGAAACCTTCATGTATCTAACCATTATTGCTCAGGAAGAACTGACTGAGAATGTGAAATTATTGAAACATGGAACCACCAGTCCCCATTTAAAGCAGTAAGAAACAGATGTTGAATCAGAAAAATAACTCTTAGCCTAAAGAAAGCCTGCAAGTATCAGTAATGAAAAGAATTCGACAAAATGTAGAACATGAAAAAGGGTGATATATCCTAAAAGATATCATAATTGAGGGGCAAAAAATAAAATCTGTTTGACAGAGAACACATGCAAAGAATAAAAACCTCCCAATGCAGTTTCACAAAGTTTGGAATTCTTCATTAAAAGCAAAGGAACTAGAAATAGCTTAATGTATATGTGACACATCTTGCCATCAAGAAAATAAATGGTAAAAATCAAGTTTAAAAAGAAAGATGAATTAATGAAAGAAAATAAAAAGGACCACACATCAATAAATCTCAGTGGATATGAACAAAAAATGGTTTCTAAGAGAAGTATAATAATCAGAGGTATACTTTGAAATTGGGGGGAGAAAAAAGAAAGTAAGCAAGTAGGCTTGTGCTACAGTAAAAAAACAGATATGCTACATCTGGAAATTTGGAATAAATATAAATTGGCAGGTCTGAGAGACATGCATCTTGTTATTAAGGGAATTTGCTTTTAAAACAAAAAAACTTACCAAAACCACTTACAATTGTGTTTGAAAAATCATGAAGAACTGAGGAGGTACCAGAGGATTAGAAAAAAACAAATGAGGTACCAATCTTCAAAAATGTAAGAAGTATGCTCCTGGTGATTACCGCCTGGTAAGTCTAACTCGAATCCCTAGTAAAATAATGGAACAAATATTAAAAGAAAAAAATCCATAAACATTTAGAGTTTAATGGGCTCATGAAGAACAGTAGTATGGAGACTGCTTTATTTTAAAACATGCTTTTAAAGTATGACTTTTAGGACAAAATTACAAAAAAGGGGACTATAGCAAATATATTTAATGTCTTTGGATTTTAGGGAAGCATTTGGAAAAATTTCATAAAATTTTAATTCTAACATATTTCCATGCAGGGGTTAGTGCTGTGATATAAGAAATAAAATACATTGACAAAAACTGGAAACAAAAGACATAACTGTAAGATAAATAGCAGTGAATCAAGTTAGGAAGTAATTTCCAGAATGGGTATTGATTAAGCATTATTTAGAATTTTCATTAATTTCTGGAAGGAAAAATAACAAACAAATAAAACAGCATTTGTGGATGACAGCAAATGTGAAAACCATGACCACAAATAGATGGGTATCAAAATAACACCAGATTTGACAATGGAAAAAGGAAAATCAAAAAAGTGTGAAGGGGACTAAATCTTATGAGTGTATACCATGTGTCCAGCACTATCCTAAATATTTTACCATCTTTCTCACCATAACTCCATGTATGCATTAGTATTCCCATTTGGCAGATGTGAGATCTGGGCCTCAGAGAAATAAGAGAACTTGCCCAAGGTCTAACAGTTAGTTACTGGCAGAACTCAAATTTGAATCCAGGTCTCTCTGATTTATATTTAGTCCATGTTCTTTCCGCAATACCATGAAGTACAATTTCTGGTGGGTAGAAACTGAACCACAGACATTCGAGGAAAGGGAGAAATGTAAATAAGAGGTAATGGATCAGAAAGGAAAAGACACACAATGGGCAAAGAACTAAGAGATTTCACAATCTGACAGCAACAGAAAAAGAAAACTTGACATAGTCTAAATGGTCAAAGCAGAGAATTTTTTTTTTTTTTTTACTTAGCTTTGATGAAACTACTGTGGAGTTGAGAGTGAGTGCTTCATTAACAGAAAACCAGTGACAAAGTAGAACATTGCAAAGAACAGTGAGAGTCAAAGAACACAACATATATAAAGCTGGCTGAATAAAGCCAGAAAGGCTTTTTGTTATTTAAGCAGTGTTCAAATGCATAACGACTAGAGCGAGGCCTTGTTCTCCAACAAGGCTACTGCAACCTATGGCAATTCAAGCAATGCAGCTAGATGTAATGGAATTAAAATGGACAAAAGAGAAATTAAGATTAGAATTACATATCAAAGATATTTCTTTGTAGTCAAATTTGAGAAGGCTACGAAACGGTACTTTTAATGTTCTCCTTAAGTAGATTATAGATTAGTTCAAGGGACATTTAGAATGTAAGCTCTTTGAAGTCAACACGCTTGTTTGTCATTTTTGCCGTGGACAGCTGTTAGAACACTTGGGTACTTCCTAAATATAAAACACTGCTTACTACAGAGTTTTGAATTCTACCAACTAAACATCAGAACCCATATTACAGAACCACATTAAGCAGTTACCAAATACTAGACAAGGCATTCAGTAAGTCTTTTTTCATTTCTTGGATTCATATAAACCACATAAATCACTTTATCAGAAACAGTAGCTAAGAAAGTTACAATTCAAGCTTCCAAGCTTACAGAAAATACATCAGAGAGAACAAATGCCAAAATAAACATACTGGAGCTTTTTGCTAAATAACTAATAGTTGCAGTGACACACGTATATGAGAACATCAACATCCTTCATACCAAAGCATCAAATAGCAGGAACAGGACCCCAACTGCTAGTCTATTACTTCAAAAATATGTTCAAAAAAAAAAGAAAAAGATCTACATACAAGAAAGTGACAGTTAATCTCAAATACTGCTAACAAGAACAGTAAGAGAGCAAATGCTGATCATTCAGAAAGATTTTTGTGTTTATTTTAAAGGTGGCATCTGAGACACTAATTATGGCAGAGTTTCTAAGATTCATAAACTGCAAATCACTACATATATGAAATGTCATCTATTAAGAAACTCAAATATAGCCCAATACCCAATGTAAAAATGTTCCCAATATTAAGCCTCTGACAATAGCATGTTTCATAAGATGACTGAACAAAACAAAGTTCATTTGTGAACTGCAACATTTCCTTTATAGAATATTTTGGTCAAAGTGATAAATATGTCTCTAAGTCCTATTCATCACTTAAATTCAACTGATTCCATCACAGCATAATCACCATGAGGAAAAGAGGATTCATAAGTTCCTGCATCCTCTGCTCTTATATTCTATAACCAAGAAGACCTCTGTGCATTTGTTTTCATTTATTCCATTTTATGTTAACTGTGCATAAGCAGGTACATAAAATATGTACCATAAAAGACTAAAGCTAAAAGGCTTTGCATGTGGGGAATGGAGATAAAATTTGAATGAAGTCTCCAAATGATCCAGAACTTACCTGCTTGATGTTTGTTGACTGAAACTGAGCAGATACTGGACGCTATAAAAGACAGAAAAATGGAATAAAGCCTTATCTTCTCCTAACGTGCCTATATTTTCCATCTCCTATATCTATGATATAAAAACGCAAAAAATAATCTCTAAGCAGAGACCAAAAGCAAGAGCCTTACACTTTCTGGTTGGAAAGTTAGAGCATTTATTATTTTTCACAGTTTTCTCCTATGCCATATGTATTGCAGCTTCAACTTTTTACCACTGAGGGCACAATCCTACTGCCACACACTGAAGATCTTGAAGTTAACTAGCCCACCTAAAAAAATTGTTCCACACAGTACACATAACTAACCTACAGTTCCTTTAGTCTTTACAGAAGTGTCCTGCTTATGGACGAACTCATGCTATTACCTACCAGTTAGCAAAACAAATGTTGAATAGATTCTCTACAATTTGCAAAGAGTTGCCAATAAACGCTGATAGACACACTAAGAAAAGGGATTAATCCATCCAAGACTGGCATACAGCTACCCCTTGAAGTGAAACTTGGAGGAAACCATGTTAAGGCTGCACAGAAACATTTCCAATCCTTCATACACTATCCTGCAGCTCTTGCCACAGATACTGCAGGAATCAATTTGTGAAGGAATGTGATTGCCTAAATTAAGTTTTCATAGTATACCTAGGTTAATCCTCTACTTTTTCTTATTAAAAATTAAAGAAAACCCTTTGATCTGTGATGATGTACTGATCAAGTACAACTCTGTTGCCTGGTTTTATTTCTAATCCAAGATAACACCCCTTTAAATATAGTACACCCTGTTCCACATCACAATACTAATTAGGGAATCATTACAGAGCAGGTCACAGATAGGCATGGGCTACCTGCTGCTGATTTTGCTTACCTGAGGTTTCTGGAAAGGGTTTCGCCTGGAAGACTCAATGGTGGGATAAATTGGCCGAGTTGATGCCCGCTGGGCAGGATCTTGGCATACAAATCCTGAATGGGGAACGGGCAACATTAAAACCTACTATTTTCTAAGAAACTAGCAGGTTTGGCCACACCTTTTCTTTAGATGTACAAACTCAGTTTCACTGTCATAAACATTACAGAAATCCATTCTCAAGAGGATTATACAGAACTCACCCATACACACACACCGCTTCAACTTTGAACTACTATAGCTGGAGAGAACAAGAAAGGAAAATATACAGATAAATCAACCTTACTGGTTGGGTAGCTGAAATGTGATTATGATTTAGAAAAAGATGTAGAGTTTTGATGAACCTCAAAATAAACGTGCAAATCACCATTTAAAAACACATAGTTGTTGGGCCGAGCCCGTGGCGTACTCGGGCGAGTGCGGCGCTGAGAGTGCAGCAGTGCTCCCGTCGCGGGTTCGGATCCTATATAGGGATGACCGGTGCGCTCACTGGCTGAGCGCAGTGCGGACGGTCTCAAAAAGGACAACCCCCCCCCTCCCCAATATAGGGATGACCGGTGCGCTCACTGGCTGAGCGCAGTGCGGCCGGTCTCAAAAAGGACAACCCCCCCCTCCCCCAAAAAAACCACATAGTTGTTAATAAAAACAAGTTATTTTAAAGTGACTTCCTGGATGACTGAAAAATAATGTTTTTAACCAGGGGAATCCAAAAGAAATTGAGGGGTCTTGTCCTGTTACATGATCTACTTCTGGAACTGCCAAAGGTGATCTATTAGCAACTTTCAAAATGGACTTTGTAGATTATCTATGGCTTAAGAAATTGGACTTTGGCTAATTTCACTTACTTCCTAAAAAGAAGATTTCCATCAAAGGACAGTAGAGTAGCTAAGTTTTACAGCATTTGCTGGTACATCAAGTACTGGTTCATCTCAATAATATTTTATTACGTCTTTTTAGAGTACTTAAAAAACAACAACAAACCCACAACACACCCATCTGACTGCCCATCTCCATTTCAAAGTTTTGGCTTATCTACTTAAAATGGGATTTCTTCCTTGGGCTGATTTAGTTATAACTACTATAGAAGGGATCAGGTTGAGACCAGGAGAGACTGTCTAGCAGAAATATAGCCAGTCTTCTTGTAACAAGACTTCTTCAGCGGGTTTCATTTTCCCAGCTCAGAGGAATATATACTTTCTCTAGATCTTTGCTTAATTCTTTTCCTCAGCTCATAATTCCTGTGCTCCAGGTCTCAGCCTTAGTTGTGGTTCAGCCTCAGGACACGATGGAGCCAGGGGGAGTAAAAACATATAAACACTTTCCTGAAAATATAATGTTTTAGTATGAAAAATTCAGCATGTCTTAGGAACTGCCAGTTGGCAATATCTATGGAGCCTGACAAAATGGATGCTCTGGTTAATTTTTATATGAATCCAGTTCAGAAAATACTACTACTCACCTACAACAGTGAACATATCTGAAATCATACTGGCTTTAATCTTTAAGTCCAGAGGTGCATCACTAACAGAATAGAAAAAGAAAAGATCAATTGATAGTTATGTAGGTTAACAGAATAGCTACCCCCGATGGGCGTCAATAATGACACGTTTCCAAATGTCAATGAGAAACAACACATAAAGCATATGAAAATCCATGGAAAAAGAAAAAGAAAAAGAAATCTGGGCAAAAATACTAGAAATAAAAGCCCAGTGTTAAACTCATCCTCTAGAAGGCAGGCCAGCATTAAGGCATTGATTCCCTGACATGCAATCTTTTTATTCCACAAGGTCTTGTGCAATTCAAATTTTTCACAAGTCAAAAAATACTGCTTCATTATCACTCTGGGTTTTAGAAGTTCAGACTTTTAGTATGCTCACTTATGAGTGTGCCCATTGTTCAAATAACTTTTTACTGCTGTAATAGTCAAAGCACATTCACATGCAAGGGAAAAAAATTTGGTCACCTTTGCAGCCAAAATGAAGACTATTTTTAAGTCTTCATTTTCTGTTCTAAATCCTTATTCTTAGGCTTATAAATGGGGCAAAAACCAAAAAAGAAACAAAAAAAAAAACCCACACAAAAAAACAAGTCATACCAAAAATCTCACCAGATAATGTAGTAGGAACCCTCATGCAAACAGAAACAACATGGACTGAAAGCAAGTGGCCTCCCTTTGGCAGCAACTGCCATGTTGGCTTTGGTATTCAGGTGGTCTTCCATGAAGCAGACCACCTCAGCTGATGCGTCCAATGCATCATTCTGGGGATCTCTAACACTGTACAATGTACTTTATTGGGCAATCTGTGAAAGCTGACTTGACAAAAGTGTAGCGCAGCATCTGAAACAACTGTAATATCTAGTTCTACACCATACTACTGAGATTAAGCCGAAATCCCACTCCACAAAGTAGTCAATCCGTCTTTATTTGATTACTTGGTATTTTGCCAATATCGCTCATCCTTAAAAACTCAGCAGCTGGGTGGTCTTTGGCATAAATCTCTAGGGTTCTCTGTTTAGAGACATGTATAGCTACTAGAAATTCTGCTGTAGCTGCAGATATAAGCGAAATTATTTCTGGTATTGAAAAATGTTTCTTTCCTTCTTTTAAACAGTAGGTTGGTTAAAAAATATTTTTTTAAACGTTGTTTGTAGTTTTTAGACTTCAATCTTGGATGAAAACCAGGACATGGGACAGGGAAAAAGGACCAGATATTATCTATATTGCCCTAGGTCCAGCTTTATACCTCTACAATATATACGAATTTGAGTATGTATAAACCTTTGGAAATAAAGGGAATATAGTACCTTGTGTATTTCTTTAGTCTTAACAGAACACCAAGAAAGTTTAAAAAAAAAAAAAAAAAAAACAACCTGGGATAAAAATGAATGCAAGAATCATCCCTTAGAAGCCCAATAGATGCTAAACATTTATTGCAAATTGACTAGGAAGGCAGGGATCCATAGTTGCAATTTGGACTTTGACAACATACCATTCACCACCTAAATTAAGGAATGCTAGTCATCTCTATATATTAACTAGGGAAAACGTCTTCTAGTGCCAAGAAAAATGACAAGAAAGAAAGAAAGAAAGAGAAAGAAAGAAACAAAGAAAGAAAAGTGTTATAGTGCTATTTGAAGATTAGTCCTTTTCTCGTAGGTAAAACTGACTTACCAGGCTAAAGAAGGAGATAGATTCACTTCCAACAACCATGGCTTCAGAGTAGAATCTATGAGCACGTCAAAACCATAGAGTTCTAGAAACACAACATAATACAATACACAAGATCATTTTCCATGTCACGAAGATCTAGAAGATTCAATCCAATCAATCCCCATCAGAGGCCAAGAAACTTGCTAAGCATAAGTGGTAAGTGTAAGTAGAAGCAGAGACCCTTTCAAGTTCAAGAGAAATCAATCAAGTTCTAGGGATAATAAGAAAACAATGTAATAAAATTTCACTGTTTTTACAATCCACTCAATTCATGTTCCTGAGTTCTATACAGAAAGTGACCTGACAGTAGAAGAGTTAACAAGTATGATTCTGCTGTGTTTATGGGTAAAATAATGTTAGGAAAATGAATGAAACAAGCACATCCAATATCAGCGCTGCTTTAGGCTTGCTCTGGATTGTCCTGCCCTACTACCTCCCTGCCATAATCTAAAAACATAAAAAAAATTTTTTTAAGGATCTCTCTAGGATCCTTACATCGCATTTTCTTAAACCTAGATCTTGCTTTTGCAACCTAGCTCAAGAAGACATCTAAACGTAAAATATATTCATCCTTTTCCCTCTCCTATAGTTTCAATTACCCTTTGAAGATAAAAAATAAAACATACTGGTCCAACTTAGAAAGACAAAAGATAAAAGAGGAAGCCAGTGGTAGCAGAGCAGGACTGTGACAAGTCATCTCCCACCACTAATGTTATTTAAGAAGGGAGGGAGGGAGCTGTAGATCAAATTTTCATGGCTTCTGGATACTTTACTGATTCTCTTCCTCTATCTCCCCAACTGTTGCAAGGAATAAAGCAAGACTCATGAGCAGGCTTTTCTCCCAGAATGCCTGGTTTTATTTATTTAGGGCTAAGAAGTTAATGTTGGAACACTTCATAGTATTATTAATGAAACCCTCTCTACAGAAATCACAGTAGTGCACAGTACTTGGTATACATGTATCAAACATATCAGACTTTCAGAAGTCCCATTCACTCCCAAACATCCCACCCTGTGTCCCTCAAATAAACTGCTTATACCTTTTCTCCAAGAGAAAAGACTAGCTTCCTTATTTGACCAGAGGTCATAGGCCACAGAACGCAAACAGGTATTTTCCGGAAATTCATTCTAATACAAATGCCCTTGCTTCCAGAAGAATTTTTTCATTTCTCAATCTTCTCAAAAAAATAGAAAACTATATGCAAACTTCTAAAAAGATGGCCCCAAAGACAATTCTAGAACACAAAGTCTGAAATTATGTGATACAGTACCAAGAATCCTCGAATGGAAATCTAGAGACCTGGTCATCCTTATCATTTCTCTGATATTTCTTTTTTTTTTTTTTTCCGTGTCCGGCAACGGATCGCAACCCTCAGTGTCGTGCCCGTACCGGACCAGGACCGGCTCAGCCAGTGAGAAGGAACCGGTATGTATGTGGGATCCGAACCCTCGGCGGGAGCGCCGCTGCGTTCCCAAGCGGCGCACTGTAGCAGTGCACCACCGGGCCGGCCCCACTCTCTCTGATATTTCTTTAGCACCCTTTGGTTTCCTTTATCCTCTCCATTAATCACTATTTGTCAATATCTGGATACTCAGTAAACCTACATCTTATTTATGCAGAGTGAATTCATGCATACTCTAAACCCTCTAGGAAAAAGTTTTAATGAATCAGTTGGCTTCCATAGCAATTATTTAGGATTCCATTTAATTTGCACATAAACTATACAAGAATTTGAGATGAGATTTGCCTCCATGTTACAATACAAAACTTACATAATATTTACACTTTAAAATGTAAAGAAAAGGAAGCCCCTTCACCTATTTTCTTTTGGTAACAGATTCATAGCTTTTTTGGCCAATACATCCTTCTGAATATCTTACCTAATCTTCAGTAATCCCACAGAATACTTCCCCTTTAACCTGAGAAAAATCTTTTGCAATATAGCTCTAAATAAGGCATTTAAAAGGATAAACCTAGGGCCGGCCTGGTGGCGCACTGCTACAGTGCGCCGCTTGGGAGCATGGCGGTGCTCCCGCCGAGGGTTCGGATCCCACATACAGACCGGTTCCCGCTCACTGGCTGAGCGAGGTGCGGGTGCAACACCGAGGGTTGCGATCCCGTTGCCGGTCCCGGTCCGGTACGGGCGCGACACTGAGGGTTGCAATCCGTTGCCGGTCACGAAAAAAGACAAAAAGGAAAAAAAAAAATCTATAAAAGGGTAAACCTAATTGCAAACTCTACGAGTCCACATTAACATTACTCAAGCAAGAGAGAATACAATGTCTGATTCATGAAAAATAATATTCTCTTACGTTTTTAAAAGCTCAAGCACAGGATGCAACTGTTTCATTAAGTGGTAATATTACTAATAATAGTATGAGGAACAGGGTGAAAATGATGCACATACTGATCATGTTTGCGGAATTAGGCACAAATGAAGACAAATTCAAAGCAGATTAACTATTGATGAGACCCACTATCTATCTATGCATCCATTTATTTATTTATTTATGGCAGCTGGCCAGAATGGGGATCCAAACCCTTGACACTGGTGTTACAGGCTGTGCTCTAACCAACTGAGTCAACCAGCCAGGCCAAGAGCCACTGTTTAAACACCTTGCATTAAGCAGCCACCACATTTACTTAACCTTTTCCCCAAATCTGAGGCAAATTCCAAGAATCTCAGTTGACAGGCTGAGAACCAATGTTCTGAGAAGAGAAAAAAAAAAAAAAAAAAAAAAAATTACCTAAAGAGAGAAAACACCTCTCACAGTGCTAAATTAATTTTCACTCAGGTGAATGAAACCTCTTAGTTCTAAATAACCTCTACAGAGACTGTGCCCTAACTAAAAAAATCAAGCCTGGAATCTAACTACATGTGTACACGCACCAGGCTTGGACCTACTATCATTTAAGAGAGGGAAGAAACACATACTGTTATGTAATAGCATTGCACCATAGTGCAAAGCTCAGCTCACCTAAAAGGCTGAAATTAGGGTAGAGAAATGGGGTGGAAATATAGTTTTTATATTAGGTTTATGTCTTAAAATAATCAACTCAGCTTATGAAAAATAATTTGCATCCTTGGCAGGCTACTAGAGTCCTTATAATAATCCTTTTAACTTATGATTGGTCTTTTTTTTTTTTTGAAGATGACCAGTAAAGGGATCTTAACCCTTGACTTGGTGTTGTCAGCACCATACTTTCCCAAGTGAGCCACGGGTTGGCCCATGATTGGTCTTTTTTACAGACATTAAAAGGTAAGGAGTAGGTTGTACTGTGAATATTAAACTTCCTCACCTTTTAGTGTTGTGTGTTTTAGCAGCAGTGTCTAGAATTTCAAAAATTCAGTATCCAGGATGAGATGTACCAGTGTTCCTGTCATTAATGGGTACAGGCAAGCAAGGCTTTTTCAGTTATGACAGCTCCTCTTTGTTCTTCTGTATTGTCTTCATCATGACAGAAGAGCAAGTATTTTCAAAGAACTGTTGCTACTACTTTATTCAATATTTGTCCAGGACAATTTTCCTTGGTAAGAAATATTTCCTTCAGCCCCCAGCCAAACCAAAACAAACTTGAAAATTAGACTAGTCAGTGGTAAGAAGGATCTTAACTCAACCTCCTACTTTGCACTTGCACCTTTATCTCCCTATTTCTTTAATACGGCTTCTTGAAAAAGCAACCTACACTCAGCTATCTGTACTTTCTTAATGCCTATTCACTCCCCAACCCAAAAGACTGTGCTTCTGCTCCCTCTAATTAAATTGACTGTTCTCATTAGGATCACCAAAGACTACCCAACTGCTAAACCCATGCATCTGAAACTGTTCACCACCCCTTACTTATTGGAACTTTGTTCTCCCTCAGGTTCCAGGACTGTTCTCTTCTGATTCTCCTCCTCTTTCCTCTCCTTCTTTCATTCCTTCTCTTCTGCCCAGCTATTCAATGATAGGTTTGCTCAGGAAGGCATCCTCAGGTCTTTTTCCTTCTCAATTCTACTTCTCTTCTTGGATGATCTCATGTATTCTCATAGCTGCAATTAACATGATGATGACGACATTCAAATCTCTATCTATAGTCAAGTGTCTCCTGGACACCAAATCCATAATTCCTATTGCCTTAGACCTCTTTACCAGGATGTCCCACAGGTACTCAACACTCAATAAAGCTGTACTTTTGTTATCTTCCCCCAAAACTGTTTAGCTTCCTATTATTCTTCACCTTGGAAATGGTAAACTCATTCACCAGGCTCCAAAGCTAGAAACACTTTCTTCACCACTTCCCAATTCTGATACATCACCAGATCTCCACCTCTCTTTCTTTCTCTTTAATCTAGCCTATCTTCTCTATTCCCTTTTGAGGTATAATCTACATATGATGAAATGGATAGACCTTAAATATACAATTTGATTAGCCTTGACAATTGGATACATCCATGTAACCCACACTCCTATCAACCCAAAGAGAACACTCATTACCCCCAGAAAGATCCCACATGTCCCTTCCTGGTAAATAAACTCCCAGCCGCCCCCTCATCTTTTTCAACCACTATTCTTATTTATTTCACCACAGATCAGTTTTGCCAATTCTTGAATTTCACACAAATGGAATCACACAGTATACACTCTTTTGAGCCTAACTTCTTTCATTTAGCATGTTTTTGAGGTACATCCATCTATCATTGTTTTATGTTTTAAGGCAGGTTTATTGAGGTATAATTTACATACAATAAAGTTTGCCCTTTTAAAGTATACAGATGATGTTTTGACAAATGTATACAATTGTTTAAACACCACCACAACTGAGATACTGAAGGATTTTATCACAAATGCTCCCTCATGCTCCTCTGCAATCCCCAGTCCCCCACACCCCAGCAATCACTGATCCGATTTTTGTCTTTCTGACTTTTCCAGAAAGTCAAATAAATAGAATCAATACAGTAGCCTTTTGAGACTGCCATCTTTCACTTAGGATTGTGCTTTGTAGGTTTATCTATGTTGCTGCATGTATCAATAGGGTAGTTCATTCCTTTTTATTGCTGA